ATGAAACCATTCGGTCAAATCCTCTACTTTAGTGACTCATCACTGCCGTTCCTAATAACCTTGATAGTCAAGCCTTCTCACTAAATATACATGGCCCCCTATTTAGTTGTAACATCTCTCAACAATCTTGTTATACACAATTCCTAACTGACTAATCTGATCGCTGTATTATATACTGTGTATTTGTCTAAATACACATTATACTATAATTCAGACAAACCTTTATCTCTTATTGTACGTTCTATTGAAGATGGTACGTGTGTAACCAAGTTCAGGTATTTCCAATTAGCGCACATAAATTGAAACCTTGACCATGGAATTTTTTTTCTTATTGTATTTGTTTGTTTCATAGTTGACCTTTTTTGTTCAGAATGATTTCTGTCAACATCTAATCTAGATGAATTCACATTTAAAGAGTTTTTGTTTAAGAATCTATACTGTATATAAAATAAAAAGTTAGGGATTGTTTCTTTTATAAGCGGAATGTACAAGCAATTATTAACTTCCAACTATCAGTTTGTAGGGACAAGGTTGGATTTAAGTTTGACTGCAGATTGATATCAGTTAGAGAACCATTGAAAACTACCAAGGAGGACTGAACAGACTTTTCTTCTGACTTTAGTATGCAGATATGACTCAGGTAGACTGTAGAGGATAAACACTGGACGATGACACTGTCTGGCACTGGCTCCAAAGAACCAGGACTAACAGCAGTTAGCATTGATGGGCCTTAGAACGCCGTCTCAGTGGCGGGATACTCGACGTGGAGTTATGACTGCATACTGATGTGGAGTCCCAAGATAAGGATGAAACATCTGTCCCATACTCCCCTGTTTTCAATGATTCTCTAACTTATATCAGTCGGTGACCAGACTTGAAATGATAAACCTGTTTCGCCTCAGTTTGGAGATTTTACTCAGCCACGAGCACCTATGACACCATCAGCGATTTAACCTAATATCTTCAATTTAAATTGATGAATACTGATGAAGAGTCCTCCAGTAGGACGAAACACCCGTCTACTTCTTCTTTGGTTTACAATAATTCACTAAGTGATGTGTAGGTTCACAGATCAGCAGAAGTTTGAATTCAAAGGTTGTTGAATTCCTTTGCAAGTGGCTAAATAGTCAATAGGGGGTGGGGTGGTGGCCTCACAATCTGAAGGAATTGGATGCGATCCCTAGTGCGTATGTGGAAGGGAAGCCCACTTCTGAATAGCCTTAAACTATCAAGTACTCTCTGATTTTCAACAGTTTTTCTCAATGATGTTCGTTTGCGAAGAAATTCACTATGAAATTGGTCCAAAATCTCTACATAGCTTGTAATTTAAATCAACGGGAAAGGTTAACATGCATATAAACAGAGAGACATTCGTGACAATTAATGAATAATGTAATTGAATTTCAGATTTTCCCGTCGATTGACTGGAAAGAGAAGTGCTCGGTCTCAGGTTGACATATCGGTTTCTTGTGCAGATGCTTCGACGATGTCTGGGCATGTAATTAGAATTTAACTAGTGGATGGTGACTAGCAGTGGAATCCAGGAGTCTCAAATAGGACGAAATGCGCTTTTTGGATTCAACTGCTAGTCACTATCGACCACTTAAATTCTAATTACATGCCGAGACATCGTCGAAGCATCTGCACAAGAAGCCGACAGGCATGTCAACCTGAGACCGAGCACTTCGGTTCAATCAATCGAAGGGGAAATCTAAAATTCAATTATATAGTAAATATGACCCGTTGCACAAGAGGTGGCTCTCGTGGCCCAAGTGGTCTAGTGGATAATGCCTTGGTGTCTGAAAGTATGGGTACTGGGTTCGAGCCTCAGTAGGAACATCATCACTCACTGGGGAATGCAGGTACTTCCAGATGACGAGTATTAAATTGGACGAAATGCGCGTCTTGGATTCCACTGCTAGTCACCATCCACCAGTTAAATTAATGACTAAGTTTAAAAAGTCTTTTTCAGATAACACTACTTGAAGTGTATACACAAACATGTAACCTCGAATTCTTATGGTAGGAATAAATGGAAATTTGTGAACAATATAGACGCTAAAAACTATTGAATTGGAAATGAGGAAGCTTTATCACAATTGCAAAAGCTTATTGCTAATGTGCTTTTTACCTTATATTGTTCACAGTTGATGAATTATACTCACGAAATAATTCATAAATACATGTAAAAATTGCTTTTGAATTAATTGTGTTCTCTGAGGTGGTTGGTTGGTTGGTTTAATAGCGAAGCTTTCGTCGTCCTTCTGGACAACATCTTCAGCACAAGTTTTAGCATATTTAAATTCTCCATGAATGATACAATTGTGTATCCTGGTTATCATCTTCGTGACTGGTAGTCAATTTGCATCTGTATTGATCATTTTTTATTGACTTGTAATTTGAATTTTCTTGTCAAGCAATTTACTTTTTATTAGTTAGTAAATTTGGTCTATATTATCATGTTTGTTGATCGCTGGTTCACTTGAGTACCAGGCTTCTAGGAATTCCCTGGCATTACTTTTGGTGTTTCCTCTGTCTAAAATTTCGGCATTATCCCAATCAAAATGGTGTCTGTAATTATCTACATGCATGGATATGAAACAGGAATATATGTCGTGTCTTTTCACAGCTGATTTGTGTTCCTGGGTTCTGATTCGAAGGGGAAGCCCACTTTGGCCGATATAATGTCTGTTACAATCCACACAGTTTATTTTGTAAATGGCGTTAATTTTATCTTCTTTTTCTGTTGGATCTTTTGGTTAGCACAATATGGAATGAAGTGATTGTGCTGGCTGGCTGGCTGGCTGGTTTGTTATCTATATCGATTTCAAACGGTTTTAATATTCTAGCTGTTATTTCAGAGATACTTTTTATATACATTGTAGAATGAATTTTCTTGTAGTCTTTGATGCTGGTATTTTTGATGTAACTTGCTATACACATTTTGATATGGAGACACAATCGACAACCTATCTGCTGCTATTCATACCCACAATATAATGGTTATGCATATAAGTAGAACCCCAGCTATTCATAAGATTCATTTCCCCATCCTCTTTAGGCGATGTTCCATCAAATAAGTAGACTTAAGGTGGCATTCATAGATGCCATCTTGTCGATTCTGTTAAATAAATTTCCCAAATTGACAGAAGTCAGAATTGATCTGCTTGTCATTGGATCGGGTCTCAGTGGCTTTAATAGCCTACGAGCTCGCTAGCCTTGTAACCACAACCAAAAGGTCCTGAGTTCCAATCCTGGTGGTGAGTGCGTACTGCTGAAGAGTCCCGAACTGGGCTGACTAAGCAGCTGTCCAGTACTCCTTGCAGGTTTTCCAATGGTTCTCTAACCGATGTCAGCCCATGATGAAATCCTTCATGCCCTTATATATATATATATATATATATATATATATAGAGAGAGAGAGAGAGAGAGAGAGATTTAGATTAAGAAATGAGCAAAGAATATCTTTTTCGATAATTTCCTCTTCCCGCTCTACACTTATATATATATATATATATACATATATATAATATTCCAGAATAATCGTCATTAACAACATTAGTGTTTTTAAATACTATCGATTTGTTACATAGGCCGTACATTTAGGCGTGTTTCTCGTTAATCTTTACTAACATCGTCCTACAAGGTTGAGTGAAGGACAAACAAAATCCATTCATTTGCTCTATTTTATCTCATCTTGTGGATACGGAACACAAGATTGTTGTTAGCTAGGCTTTCAAAGTCACCTACCACATACCAACTAATCTTAACTTCATGAACTGTAATTCCATCGTGATCTTACTTAACAAATCGATAGTATTTAAAAAGCACAGCAATATTGTTAGTGACGGTTATTCTAGAATATTCTATGCATGTAAACATATATAATAATTTATATAATCGTATAGGCAGAAGAGGGAATTATCAAAAAGGATATTGGCTTCACGATTTCATCATTATCTGACATCCATTAGCAAACAAAATCGAAGACTTACAAGCGAAAACCGACAAACTAGTCGAAGAAGCAGCAAAGACAGGACTCCAGGTGAACATAGACAAGACGGAGGTTATGAAAATAACCAACCAACAACAACAGCAGCAACAACATCCAGCGCCAATCACCATCAACGGGAGGGATTTGAAAGAGGTTGCTTCATTCACTTATCTAGGGAGCATTGTCTCAAATACAGGAGGAACGGACGACGAGGATGTCAAATCGAGAATCGGGAAGGAGAGAAACCCATTCATCAACCTGAAACCAATCTGGAAATCTTCGTCACTCAACTCAGCATCAACAACAAAATTCGGATTTTCAACACAAATGTCAAATCAGTTCTTCTATACGGATCAGAAACTTGGCGGGTCACAAAGAATATTTCCAACAGGTTGCACACCTTTATCAACAACTGTCTCCGCTCTATACTGAAGATCAGATGGCCGGAGAGAATCACCAACAAGAAACTATGGGAACAAACAAAGCAAGAACTAATCGCCCAACAAATATGCAGGAGAAAGTGGAGATGGATTGGACACTCGCTGAGGAGGCCGCTGGGTGACATCGCGCGTCAGGCCAACGCTCGAGTGGAACCCGAAAGGGAAGCGGCGAGTGGTTCGTCGTTGCAAGGGTGACATGGAGGAGATCGTGTGAAGAAGAGTTGAAACAGTATGGACTAACATGGATGCAGGTGAAAAGCACAGGAGAAGACAGAAGCAAGTGGAGACGTGCAGTTGAAGCCCTTTGTTCCACTAGGAACCCAAGGGAACCATAATAATAAATATGACATCCGTTAGAGAACTATTTGAAAACCTGCAGGGAGTACTTGACAGCCAACTGTTTAGTCAGCCGATTTCGGGACTGTTCATCAGTACGGGTTCGAAACCGGCTTTTTGTATACGTCTGAATACATTTATATATATATATATACATATAAGTGTAATTTGTCCTTGTCTACATTAGTTAATTCGCACACTGTTTATTTTTTTCTATCGTATTTCATTAGTTGGCGGTTGTATAGGATTCGTCATATTTTCATCAGCAGCTTTAGTCTTTTGGTATGGTGTAAAATTAATTCAAGATGAGAATACGGATCCCGGTGCTGTGATTGCGGTAAGTAACATTCTAACGGTCGACTGAGTTGAGTTTTTATTTAAACTAAGAACATTTTCGTTTGATGTGAGTGAATCACTGTGGAATCGCTTGTTACAAGAAGAAATTTACTTTTCAATAGTTGGTTTGTAAGGATTAAATTTGTTTTTACGAGTTTGACCACGAATTGATATCAGTTAGAGAACCATTGGAAACCAGCACTGGAGTACTGGACAGCCAGCTGTTTCATCAGTCTAGTTTGGGAATCATCGGCAGTACACACCCACCGCAGGGGATTCGAACCCAGGACCTTCCGATTACAATGGTTCTCTAACTGATATCAATCCGCTGTCAAACTCGTAGATAAATAAATTTACTATGTATTTACGAACAACAAATTTCAGCGAAGAGTCTCTTTTCGGTGGCGAATTCATTCACTTACCTGTAGAATCGCATTTATATATAATTATTTGGTGTGTATGTGTGTGCATTAGGATTGTCAAACAGAAATAAACATTAGTTAGGGTTACTAATTAGGTTATCGAAATGTTTCTAAAATGTGATGAATAATCAAAATTGTAACCAGTTGGGGGTGGGGGGCGGTGAAGATTGGTAAGTACTGACAAGGTTTACGTATTATGAAATAGGATGCCAAAAATAATGTAATAGGTAGAAACAGTAAATGAAGGGTTGCTTAAGAAAAAGATATTACTAAGATGCTGTACAAAAATTCAAAAAATAGAAAAAGGAAACAAAACATTACTAACAAACTAGTAGAATTTGGATTTATACCCAATGTAGAAGGACGGGGATTGGAGGAGTTTCTTCGATGTGCATAAATCAGGGTTTTCTATCTGGCCTCGCTCGGCAATGCAAAGTATACGGAAGTCTGCTGTTTTCCGGAGGCTTCTTTTGACTTTGTAGATGACTTTGAATGAATTCTGCGTGTATATTGAGTGACCAGTGTTGACTATATTTTCAGTTATACCACCTCTTATTCTTCCACTGTTACCTTTTCGTAGTCAAGCGGAATAATGTTCTTTGACTCTTTTAGATAAAACACGTATCGAACGACATATTTATCTCGCTCCACATGATCAAGTTTATTGGTAGATACACATAGAAGTGGTCAAATGAGATAGTTTGTCTTTGAAGATGTTGACGAACAATGGGAGCCTTGGGAATACCAATCGTAATGTAGCAGCAGGGGATGCTCTTTTCAGGGTGTTAGGTATTATTCTTTTAAGGATGTCCGCCAGAAGGTCGCTTTCGAACGCCACATTCATGTATAATTTAATAATTCCCATTGTAGCATTAAGAACATCATATTCAGCGAAGAGACTCTTTTCAACGAATTTATTATCAAGCTGTATATACGATTGTACATTCATGTATATCATTTTTTTCGGTACAGAGATGGGTTGTTCTTTGTTGCTTTTCAGTTTTATCTGTTTATGTATAAAGCGTTCCGAGTGCAACATAGGGCTACAGGCTTTCGTTTCAGAGTCCCAATAACAGTAGTTTTAATTTTAGGGAGGAAGGTTACTAGCCTCCCTCTCAACTTTTCCTCTTTATAGGCTTTACATACTAGCTAAGAGCAGTATACGAATGCATCGGCCGATTATAGGACACTGGACTATGTGCGTGGTTGACAAGAGTCCTACCACTCCATCACCGACGTACATGAAAAAGTACTGAGCAGTATTTCGTTGCTTTTAAAAAAGGTTGACTGTTTTTGATCATGGATGTCTACGATCTCTTTCTCACGTTAGGTGGTATAATAAGGTAAGTAATGTTGACGTTAGGCAGAGAGTGTTGGGCAAACTGTTGGGAAAATCAATCGACGAGGCTATAAAGTTACATAGATTGAGATGGCTAGGTCACGTGCTGCGCATGACTAACCATCGCCTCCCCCAACGACGGGCATTACTAGCTGATATAGGTGTAGGTTGGAAAAGAGTAAGTGGTGGCCAAACAGAAACATGGCATCAATCCATGAAATCCATGACAGTTAAACTGAGTCAGGTAGGGAGATGCAGACTTCCGGGTTGGGGCCCGCCCTCGGGACTCTAAGAATCAATGGCTGGAAACAATAGGTGACATGGCTCAAAATCATTGTCAATGGCCTACGCAGATGTATTCAGTCTCTGGAATCTTTCATATTGCTTTCTACCATTACTCATTCTGTTTCACTCTTATACTTGTCAAAACTCGATTGATTCTCTTCACTCATTTTCTTGCCTACCTTTGTGTGCTCTTTGGAACGTGGCAACTCGAACTGGTGCACTTCGGTGCCAAGTTCAATGTTGAATCCAGCCAGCCAGCCTTTTAAAAAACAACCCACTTGATAGTATTCACATTTGGCTGCAAACATCTGCTATGCGAAACAATTCACTATTCATGAAAGAATAATGTGTTGCCTTAATAATTAGCAAACCATTTAATCATTAGATTAAGACTAAATTAAACATGTATTATGGAAAGTTGTGGTCTCATGTGTATATCAGTCAATGAAGTAAGAATATAAAATCACTAGAATAGTATGACTTAATCAGCAATTAATACTGTAGTTTTACTGTCTGTTGAAAACCAGAGAGTACTGTACAACTGTTTCATTCTAGTACGGAACTATTCACCATTGCTCACCCATGAGCTCACCGGGGATCGAGCCTAGGAACTTCAGGTTACGAGGTTAGCCACTTGCACCAAAATTCAATAACCCCCGAGCATGAATTCTAATTTCTACCAGTTCGTGATATAGTGCCACAGTTTTGATTGGACACTAGTTAGTAACTAGTGTGATGTGTCCAGTTCTCTGTTTGGTGCAGACTGAATTCTATCAGCCACCTTTGCAATGTGGCCATCATTCTACGTAGCTCGCCATTGTTGGAGGCAATCGTTAGGAAGACTTGCACCTAGGCTTCATGCTTGTTGGCACTTACCAGCTAGCAAGGTGTATCTATAACCTTGAATAGTGGCTACATCGCAAACTTGACTGATAGAATTCAGTTTGCACCAAGCAGAGGACCAGACACATTACACTAGTTTCCAATCAAAATCATCCAATACGATCCTACAGGAGGTCAGTCACGAGCCTGAAAAGCTCAGTGGTTACGTCTCTGACTGACCGTAATACTGGGTGACGCGGGTTCGAGTCTCAGAAGGGATGTGAGCTCCTTCAAGACTGCAGTTACTCCTTGCTGATTGGTGAGTGGCAACTAGCACGAGACCTAGGCCAGCTGGCTTGGCTTCCTACCGATTGCGTCCAACCATCTAATAGTACCACACTACCAACCAATATCAGTGACGAGCATCCGTTGTTTCACCTTGATATGGTTTTCAATGATTCTCTAACTGACACAGGTTCGTGACGGTATCTACGCTGAAAAAAATTATCCCGATCACTACAGAACCCATAATCTTGAATTTAAATATTTTTTCAAAGCAATAGCTAACTATGGTTAGATTAAAACCAATGACCGTTTTCCGGTGATCACCTTAAATGCTAAAGCTAATTTGTTTAACTAAAGTGATGTCAGATCTTTTCAAAAGAATGGTTATTGAACAAAGGATATTCTTCTGGATAACCAGCTCTTCATCAGGTTCTACATAATAGTGAGTGAATAAATTAGTGTTATTAACAACATTAATGTGGTTTAAATAACATCGAATCAATAATAATAATATCAATGGATTACAGTTCGATAGCATCAAGATAACACTACTCACTGAATATCAGAGAGAGAAATTGGGAAAGGTAATAATATAAATTCATGAATTTATAGTCTCCACTGAAGGCCGGCCATGGCAGTTGTAGTGGCTGGCTGGACTTACTTCTTCTGCACATAGCGCTTCCAACGCTTCAGGCGATTCGTGATAGCCTCAGCTGTTTGGGTTATGCGGTACCTGGATGTTTTTGGAAAATTTATTTGGAACCCAACACATGATAGAGGAGGATTCTTCAATGCTGACTTTGTGGCCGGCCGGTTTGGACCAGGCGGTCTAATATCGAAAGGCTGATAATGGGTTTTACTACACCTTTATTTGGCTACACTAGTAGGTGTTCCCTAGAGAGCACTGAAAAGAATATTCCATGTTCAATAATTAGTTTTTGGAAACTTTTTACAGGGCATCGACAATCAAACAAATAATCCTAATATTTTCTTTACTATAAATAATCCCTTTTTCTCATATTTCTCAGGTATTTATTAATATTCTGCTGGGGAGTATATTTCTTGGGAATGCCTTACCAAATGTACCTTATATCCTTGGTGCTGTCACAGCATCCAAGGAAATATTTGCAACTATAAATAATGTAAGTTTCTAAACGGTTATTTTCTTTGTTTAATTATTTCTAATTGTTATTCATGATTTTGATGTAATGGTGTTCTCTGAGCTGGAATGTTTATTTGCGAAGCTTTCATTGCTCTTTACTAGGCAACAGCTTCAGCGCATACTACTTCAGTTTGTTGAAGTGAGCTTTCAGATTTCTGCACGAGCTTTCAACTCATCTCTCTTGGTGACCTGACCTTGAATGTGATTCGTTGTTTTCGTGTGTTTTCACACCCTCTAGGCGGCTACTTGTTTTGGCGTTGGTACTGATTGTTTCCTTGACCAGAAGTTTGACCTTTCATGTATGAGATTTCCTTCTGATCGGCTGGTAAATTTTGTTATTGTCAATGTGTATCTATTATTAATTGACGATTCACTGGAAAACCATCAGTCTTCTTGCAGCATTCTCTAGCACTCCTGGTGTTTCTTCCTCTGTCTAATATTTGAACGTTGGTTTGGTTGTCCCAGTCAAAATGATATCCGTGGTTGTCTGTATGCAACGATATGACGGATTGGATGTCATGTCTTTTGACATTTGGTGAGTGTATGTTCATGGATACGAAGAGGAAGGGGACGTCGTCCACGTTGGCCAATACAGTATTTTTCGCAGTTATTACAATTTACTTTTTAGATGATGTTGGTTCTATCTTGTTTGGCTGTTGAGTCTTTTGGTTTACATAGAGTTAGCTGAAGGGAGTGGTTTTGATGGTTTGTGTGCGATATCAATTCCTAAAGGTTTGAAGAGTCTTACAGTGATTTGTGAGGTGTTGTCGTTTATATATGGTAGGGTGATTTTCTTAGTGCTTTCCTTGGTGGCCTTTGGTTTGATAGGTTGGCTTCGTGGTATATGTCTTTTGATGAAATTCCGTGGATATCCATTCTTTTGGAAGACAGGCATCCATAAAATATCTCCCTTCAATTTTACCTTAAGATAGGAGTGCTGCAGTCAGTTCTGACTGGCTGGCGCTGGCTCCCTCGAACAGTGTTTGTATGCAATTCTTTTTGTGTGTTGTTGGATTATTGCTGTTGTAATTGAGCGAGTATTTGTTCCGTGTGAGTTGATTTTCTACAAATTGGCTGGCTCCATACTGAAGATCAAACTGCGGGCCAGAAAGAATAAGCAACAAGAAACTCTGGCTAGGAACAAACCAACAAGCAAGAGCCGATCGCTCAACACATATGTAGGAGAAAGTGGAGATGAATCGGACATACATTTAGGAGACCGCCGAATGACATCGCACGCAATGCAGGCCACCACTCGAGTGGAATCCAAATGGGAAGCAACCAACGAGTGGGTCTTCAGTGCGAGGTTGACATAGAGGAGATCGTGTGAGGAAGAGATGAGAGAGTTTGGTCAATCGTTGGAGCCAGTCAGCAGAACAGGACGTCAGGAAACAGAACAAAGTGAACATGTGTTGTTGAAGCCCTATGTTCCACCCGTAATACAGGGGAATAATAATAACAAATCGATTATGCGTTTGGATACCAAACGCTGAGTACGACCGACATACGTAGCTCCACAGGAGTAGGCGAACTGATAGATAGACACTGAGGAGACCGGCAGTAGTAGCAGACATTGCGAGCAATGCAGGCCGTAGAGTGGGACCAGAATATTAAACGACGAGTTGGGCATGGGTCAGAGGGTTACATGGAGGGGATTATATGGACAGGGGATGAGAACTTAATGGCAATCCTGAAGCTAGCTTAGAAGGACTGCCGAGAAGTGATTGAAATGGTGATGTGCCACTGAAACCCTGTATTTCACACAGAACCTAAGGTAATAATAATAATAATCGGATACAGTCTCTGCTTGTTCAATCATTTTGAATGATAGTTTCTTTTTTTTTACTATTTTTATTTATATGAAAATTTAGGCTTCTTCTATAAATAAAAATGAAGTTGGTAAAATTGTTGCAAATTTTAATGGAAGTGTCACATTCCGTCATGTGAATTTCACTTATCCCACACGTCCAGATATACCTGTAAGTCTATTTTATTATCACTTACATATTACTCGAAATTTATCACAAGTAGTGAGTCATTGAAGTCACATTATGATGAAATATTAATTCTGTAAGATAGTTCAAGCAATCTGCAACTTTTAAATTAACCCAAAGATGCATACAGAAATTATATATATGTTTATGTCTGGAGTGGAACATGTGGCTACAAGCCTCGGTGTTTCAGTAACTCTGGTGCTTAATTTACGAGGTGGGATTACTAGCACCACATCCAACAATCCTCCTTTTTCCCGCTTACTATCGACTAGTAAAATATGCGAGGCTTAATAGTTCATCTCCCAGGAATTGAAACCGGCACAGCGTAAGTCGTTAGCCAGAATCCTACCACTGAATCACTGATGACATACACGGAAATGATTTTGTTGTTGGATAGGTTGAAGGATGTCATCATGAGCTAGCATCAGTTAGAGGACCAATGGAAAACCAGCTGGGAGTACTGCCAGATACCTGTTTTGTCAGTCTGGTGTGGGACTCTTCACCAGTAGGCACCCAACCTACTGAGGTCCGAACCCAGAACCTTCTGATTACAACGTAAACGAGCTCGTACACCATTCAGCCGCCACTGGGACCCGATCTCACGGCCAACGCATGAATTCTAACTTCTGCCAATCCATGCATGACGCAGTGCGACTTCTTCGCAATACCTTCTTCGATGAGTAACTGTCCTCACCTACAACCTGCTATACCCTACTGGTCACGGCTTCCCACTAGAACCCGGAGGTAACTGCCTGAATAGGGCCAGTCTCAAACTAGGACGAAATAGCTGTCCAGTAATCCCAGATGGTTTTCCAGTGGATCTCTGATCGGTGTCAATTCATGAACAAACACCATTTACAGATTACTGAAAGCCAGATAACACTGGATGGCTGTTTCGCCCTAGTTTGGGACTCTTTAGCACTAGAGATTGGACCTAAGACTTTCAGACTACTAGACGAAGCCCGCTGACCATAAAACCGCATGGGTTCAGATTCAATTACGTGTGAATTATAACTCTGTCGATTGGTGACATGGCGCCACCGTCAAACAACTCATTCAATGGGAATCCAATTTTGCTTGATATGATGGACCCCATTCGGTCATAGATTCTCAAAACAGCTTCAAGATTTCCATTCAGGAACCATTGATGTGTTGGTGAATGGCATTGAGATTGGTGGGTTTTTGTAGGCATTTGGATTAGTCTTGATGTCTACTGCCCAGTGGTTTTCAATGATGGGAAGATTGAGTACATTGGTTATGTGAATTTCTCGTGTTTTTACGAGTTGATCGCGGATTGATATCAGTTAGAGAACCATTGAAAACCAGGGAGTGCTGGACAGCTGCTGTTTCATCCTAGTTTAGGAATCATCGGCAGTACGCACCCACTGGGATTCGAACCCATGATCTTCTGGTTACAAGGCTAGCGAGCTCGTAGACCATTTAGCCACTGGGACCCGATCCAATCACCAGCCAGCTCATGCATTCTAACTTCTGCCAATTCATGACATAGCGCGACCACTTAACAATGTCTTCTTCGATGAGTAACTGTCCTCACCTTCAGCCTGCCGTATCCCACTGTGGACGGTTTTCCACTAGAACCCCAGGTAACTGCTTACCTGATTAGGGCCAGTCCCAAACTAGGACGAAACAACTGTCCAGTACTCCCAGCTGGTTCTCCATTGGTTCTCTGACTGATGTCAGCTCATAATGCAATCCTCCAACCAATCAAACAAAATCCCTACAAATCAATACTGGATAACTATAACAATTGTTAATAATTTCCCTTTAGATTATAATTTTTACTGTGATAATATGAACTCATTTTTCATGGAGATTTCGTCACGAACAAACATCATTTATAGGTTACTGAAAACCAACCAACACTAGTTGCCACTTTCGCCCTAGTTTGGGACTCTTTATCAATACATATCCGCTATAGCATTTGAGATTGAACTCAACACCTTCAGGCTACGAGACGAAGCTCGTTGACTATTCAACCACGTGTGTTGGAATTAACTGACGTGTGAATTCTAACTCTGCCGATGGGCATGCAATTTAGCTTGATATGGGGGACCCCATTCGGTTATAGATTCTCCGCACACCTTCAAGATTTCCATCAAGTAAACACTGATGTGTTGAAGAATGGCATTTAGATTGATAGGGTTTTGTAGGCATTTAGATTAATCTTGATGTCTAGTGTGCACTGGTTTTCAATGGTCTTTATTTAGTCATGCTGATTCGTGATGAAATGTAAACTGAATTCGTTCAAATCCCTACAAAAACCCACAGTATTAATACCAAGAGACAATGACTAGCAGCTTTGTTGTGTTTGTTTGTGCGTGTGTGTGTGTGTGTTGAAATTTGACAGTGGCTAGACGTATGTGTGGGTGTAGGTGGTTATGAATCACAAATTGATTAGACATGAATGAAATGAGAAAGGTCAACAGACATGAGTAATTCGATGATAGGAAGATTAAGTACATTGGTTATGTGAATTTCTGGTGTTCAAATGCAAGCTGAGTGATTTGTCGTCAGCATATATAACAAATAGCTTTAACATGCGATAACGTAAATGAAAGAAGTAATGTGAATCATACGAGAGAAAATTAAGTTCAAGGTAATGAAATATATAGTACAAACTGTGTCGGGGACCCGAGTCGTGTGTTTTTCTTATTGCTGAATATATTAGATTTCCACAGTGATTTAAGATTAATAAGCTCTTGTCTTACATATTTTTGATCGTGCCTCTGACATTCCCATCTGTGGCACTGTCTGCAGTTGAAACGATGTTGCTTAATTAAGTAAAAGAAGTGACATTCGTCAAACTTCTCCAGGTGATGGTGATTGGCGCTTGTTGTTTTATGTTAGGTGTATCTCCACTGCTTTTGTATTCTGTACCTTCACCGGAAGTCTTGTCTCGTTACTTCTTCTGCTAACCTGTTGATTTTCGCCTTTAGATGTTCGAGGTAAGACATAAATTATCAGCGAAGTTCCGATCTTCAAGTGTCTTGTCACAGATTCTGCTTAGTCCCGTCTTTTCTCTCCGCACAGTCTGTTACATGATCTAGTTGACCATCATCATATAACCTGTTGAATGGGAATGATAAAGGTTCATTAAGCTATATATATCCTCCTAGTTTGGGAATCTTCACCTGTACGCATCCATCCTACTCAGCTTCGAACCCGGGCCCTTCTGGTGACAAGGCTAGCGAACTCGTAGACAATTAAGCCACTGGGACCTGATCCAATCCAATGGCCATTCCGTGAATTCTAGCTCCTGCTGATTCACGATATAGCGTGACTGCTAGCCAATGTCATCACTGGCAAGCATTTGTCCTCAGCTTCAACCTGTTGCACCCTACTGATCCCGACTTCCCACCAGAACCCCAGAAAACTTCCTACCTGAAAAGGGCCAGTCGCTAGTGAGCATCTCAATGATATTCAATTATTGCTTTGCAGGTCGGAGGTGAGGACAAATACTCGCCGAAGACATTGCGAGGTGCTCTCACCATATCATGAATTGGAGGGAGTTGGAATTCATGGATTGGCCATTGGGATGGGTGGGTCCCAGTGGCTGCTGAATGGTATACGAACTCGCTAACCTTTTAACCAGAAGGCAGTGAGTTCGAACCCCCTGCGGTGGGTGCATACCGCTGAAGATTTCCAAACTGGCTTGCGAAATACCTGTCCAGTACTAGCAGGTTTTCCAGTAGTTCACTAACCGATGTCAGCTGATGATGAAATCCTGTAACCAATCAATCTAATTGCTACAAACCAATAATTGAATTAATTATTTGCTGTATACTTTTAGTTCTTTGACAAGCATGTATATTTTTAAACTATTCGATTACCTATTTTGCTATAGGCCTCACAAGTCATCTGTTTCATGTGATTTGTTTTGCTCAAGCTAAGTGTAATGAAATTATTACTATAAGGAGTGGTGCAACATGCCTATCATTATGCAATGGTATGCATAATTACACCAGTTGATTGAAGTTTTACTTACTATATATATATATATATATATATATATATATGTATATCAGACGCACGTCTCAACTGCGTTCGGTTTTCTGCCAACTTTTTCACCTAGGTCCATGTCTGGCCACATGCTTTCATCTCCTCTTCACATGACCTCCTCCAATCCATATCACCCTCACACTGACGACTAACTCACCACTTCCCATTGGATCGGGTTCCACTCGAGCGATGGCCTGGCGTGTGATGTCACTCACTGGAAGGTTTGTTTTCTCAGAGTGTGGCCAAACCACCTCCATTTCTCCCTGAAGATTTGTTGCACAGTCGGTTCCTGCTAGGTTGGTTGGTTCGTTCATTGTCAGAGATCTCTCCCTGCTGCGGACCTCTTCTGATCTTGAGCGAAGTATTGAGCGAAGACAGCTATTGATGAAAGCCTGTAGTTTGTTCGAAGTGCGCTTCGTGATGCGCCAAGTCCCTGATCCGTATAGTGAGTAGCACTGACTTCGTCGATGGCACAGCGGTTAGGACGCTCGTCGACCATGCACATGGTACGGTGTTCGATCCCCTGCCGATGCACTCCTTTACCTCGCTAAGCCAGAAATAATGCTGGTGAAGAGGGAAGGTTGGGCATGAGGCTAGCAACCACATCCTGTAAAATAAACACTCCTACCGAAACTTCAAGCCACTATCTTCAGGCCCTATGTTCCACTGGGGAACGTGAAGGATAAAAAAATTGACTTCACATTGGAGTTGAAAGTACAGATCAACATTTTTATGGTGAGTGCTGAGTGTTTACCTCCACACAGACTTGAGAGTAATGAAAGCTTGCCTTGCCTTCCCGATCTTTGCTTTGATATCCTCGTTGGTTCCGCCTGTAGTTGAAAGGATGCTTCCCAAGTGAGTAGGTAACGGAGGTTGCTTCTTTCAGATTTCTCCTATTTATGCTGATTGTTGTCTGTTGTTGTTGCTGCTGGTGGTGTTGGCCAGGAATCTTCATCACCTCTTTTCTCTATGTTCACCTGAAGTCCTATCTTCTCTGGTGCTTCTTTTATCGCCGACTTGTTGCTTTTCACTTGCATATCTTCCAGTTTGTGAGAAATCAGACATTTATCATCGGCGAAGCTGAGATCCTCCAAGTCTTCTGTGTAGGTCCATTCCAATGCCTGTCTCCTCGTTGCCCGACCCACTGTCTGTCACACTATCCTGTCTACCGCAATCAGGAAAACTTATTTATTCACTTATTTTTTTTCAAATTTTGTTTCGTTGTCAGCTTATCTTTTTTGTTTATTTTATTTTTTATTAAATCAGGTACTTTCAAATTTCTGTTTAACTATTGAAAGTGGTCAAACCGTGGCACTGGTTGGTTCAAGTGGTTCTGGTAAAAGTACTATTATACACATGCTTCAACGTTTTTATGATCCTACAGAAGGTGAAGTAAGTGAAATTGTGAATAATTATGAATGATTCTAATAGTTTTACTCTTTCATAAGATTGAGACGTGGTAAAGTTTTGAAATATAATATAGAAGCCGTTGGAGGATTTCATCATGAGCTGACATCGGTTAGAACCATTGGAAAACCAGTTGGGAGTTTTGGAAAGCTGATTATATAGTCCTAATTTGGAAATCATCATCAGTAATCACCCGCCCTATTGAGGTTCGAACCCAAGACATTCTGGTTACGAGGCTAGAGAGCCACAGGGATCCGATCCAATGACCAGCCAGTACATGAATTCTAACTTCTGCCAATTTACGACATACCGCGACTACTTCTCAATGTCTTCTTCAATGAGTTACTACCTCACCTTCTTCCTGCTTTACTCTACTGGTTACGCCTTCCCACTGGAACTCCAGGTAACTGCCTGAATAGGGCCAGTCGCTAGTGAGCATCAGATCAATTTTCAATTGTTGGTTTTGTAGGGATTTTCTTTGATCGGTTGGAAGACTTCATCATTAACATAGACGCACCTGTTGAAGGGTTAATACTTCTCTGGTTGACTAACTAAATTTCAACATAGAAATACGCATAGAAGTACACCACTTCAATTTGATACATTCCGTCTAGCACACGAAAGAGAGAAAAACAGAGGATTTAGAAGAACTATAATCAGTAGAAATAATCAGGAGACTGAATTACATGCATAAAACTTGAAGACTTTATGGATTTGCGAAATCACAAAGAAAGTGAATGTGTGGTGAGAGCTGTCTACTAGCCAAATTGGTAGACAGTAATTTACGTCAATATTTGCGTTCCCAAGATTTGTCATGAGAAAATGTGAACAAAGATTGATTCAAAACCGACCACAGCAGACTTTGCGTAGGCGGATGCAGTTAACATATAGAGGATTTGACATTCAAGAAACAGTCACAAATAGATGAAAGATTAACTTTACGTGAGAAACAACCAATCGGAAGACTGTGTTTGTTTGCTTAAATAACCATAGTAATGTACATGAAAATATATAAATATGCTTTGATTTCCTCAATAAATGATCTGTTGCCTGGCCCTTGTCTTCTGTTGTTACAAATGTATTTGCACTATAGAAAATGATTAGCAGTCATATCAACAATGGTCTCCTGGACCCCAACCAGGACACGTCTACAACTCCCTACGTAACTGGTTCAAACCAACTATCAAAGACTTCATGGATTAATTCTAGGTTTTGGTTTGTCCTTCCCTAACTCTTTCCTGACCTAATCTTATGTCGGCTCAGTTTGCTCGTCTAGCTATGTGTGGGTGGAAGGTCACAACATGTGTCTTAACCACCTCAATCATTGTGGCTTCACAACCTCATCGACTGATTTATTCTTCCTACTTAACATTCTATGTCTTTCTTCCATTTTACTCACCAGCTACTGTCTAAACAGTAGAAGTTTATTTTTACTGTTTCCATGAGTTCCATATAGAAGATAGGGGGGTTTAAAGCCTTAAGTTTTGAATTATTTTGGTAGCCGTGGTATTTTTCTGTAGGTTTTGATTGCTTACCATAAATCCAGTCTTCCCTAATTCCGGTTGAACAAGGTTTAGAAGTTAGTTGGAAGCGATTCGAACCTGGTAATTCCCCTTCCCACCCCAGCACACATACATAACAAGTGAAACTTTTCTAGAAAGAAGAGGACGTATTCCATTATGTGGTCTTGTAAGTTTTCTTTTACTTTGAGAACAGTTAAAATAATAACCATTTTCTTTTGGTTGGCGGTGATTTGCAGTGGAATCCATCAGCTTCGTTCTATTTGCTGGTCGTCATGTAGATGTACCTGCACTTCCGAGGAGTGGTAATGGTGTTCCCGATTAGATTGGAGCCCCATACCCATAGTTATAAACGTCAAAAAATTATCCACTAGGCTACAAATGACATAACAGTCACGTCTTATGGGACGAGTACCAGTCATCGGATGTTTTTAGGTGAAGATACATTTACCGTTGATTAATTATGCTGGAACAGAATGGTCGGTCTTCGTTGGCATAAGAGGTGGTCGTCGTGGCCCCCATAGTTTACTGGATTACGATTTAGCATCTGAAACAATGGGTGTATGTTTCGAGTCTATGTTAGAACACCATTGTCACTCAGTGGGAATATGGTTACATCCAGATAACGGGTCTCAGATAGGACGAAATGCGAATCCTAGTGGATTCCACTGCTAACCACCACAAACCATAGAAAAATTCACCTTAATCCGTCCACACTAGAATCCAGTATGTCAACGGAGACTGAACATTTCTGCCTAATTCCGATCAACAAGATATCCAAAAATAACTGTGAAGTAAATAATAAGCATGAGAAAATCAACACAAATATCATGACCAATTTTGTTATATAAACACATGCTGTTATTACAATTTTACACACTTATCAAATCCAACAATCTCTACCTGGTTTTATTATTTTTACCAACTAGTCAATTTGATAAAGCAAAAATGACCCCATGCTGAGGAACGATGATTAAGTAGTTACATATATAAGCTGAGTGGATTTTGTAAATTCTGGTTTCATATTACTACTTTGATAAAGCTATTAGCAGCAGCATTGAATAGCGAAACGTCAGTAAATACTGTAATATCGTTTTGTTTTTCAATCATTCATTGGTAAATACGAAACACCTTTATTATAAATAATAAGCATTTAATAGTGTGAAATATTCCCATATCATGAATTAAAAGTCAATCTGAACGAAGAATGTTCTTTTCAATAATTTCTCCTCTTCAGGTTCTCACAATTATAAAATATAATATTTGTTGTCGTTACAATAATGATAGCCAGTTAGCTATACGGTGGATACATTTTTAACATAAAATAACAGATTTGTAGTTATGGGGTGTCAAAATAAATAGTCGTATTTGTGTGACAAACGTGCTAGGCTGAAATCGATTACAAAATATTTCGGTGAAATGGCAGACAATGGTGGTGATTAGTCATAATCGATTCGTAGAATGTGGGGTAGGAAAATTGACAAGTCAGTTCAAGGTTATAGAAGGTGTCAGGTGAGTGAGAGCTTAGTACAAAGTGGTCTGTATTAAACAGGAGATAGTAAGACTGCAATAAGAGGTTCATCATGAAATAACGAATGTGTGAAATGAAACAGGTGAAGGCATCACATTGAGAAAAGAGGTAATATCATTCGTCATAAGTCAGGATAGTATAAATGGAAAATTCGATAGTATTGTGACAATGTTTGTATGAAGGCCATATCTTATGTCGAATAATAATAATAATAATAATAATAATAATAATAATAATAATAATAATTGTAATAATAAGCAAAGAAAAAATCACATGAGACTTAACGGGAAAAAGCGATCTTGGTGAGAAGATGAAACTTCAATCCATATTTGGCCATGATGTTACTATCTCCTCTTTAATACATACCACTTTGTACTAGCCACTCACTCACCTGACACACCTTTCATAACCTTGATCTGACTTGTCAACATTTTCCTATCCCACACTCTACAAATCTATTATGACTAATCATCAACATTGTCTACCATTTCACAATATTCTGTGATCGACTTCAGCCTAGCACGTTTGTCACACAAATATGACTTTTTATTTTGATACCCCATAACTGTTAATCTGTTATTCTACTTTAATAAATGTTTCCACCGCATAACTGGCTATCATTATTGTAACGACAATAAATATAATCTTATTTTATAATTGTAAGAACCTGAAGAGGAGAAATTACTGAAAAAAAGTTCTTTGTTCAGATTGAATTTTATTGACTAATAAGTTAGTACTGGACAGCCGTTTCGTCCTAGTTTGGGACTCATCATCAGTACGCACCCACCGGGGTTCGAACGCGGAACCAGTACAGAAAGCAGTACAACCAGTACAGCAGGTTGAAGATAAGGCAGTAACTCATCGAAGACGACATTGGCTAGCGGTCGCGCTATGTCATGAATTGGCAGAAGTTAGAATTCATGGGCTGCCTGGTCATTGGATTGGCTCCCAGTGGGTCAATGGTCTACGGGCTTGCCTTGTCACCAGAAGGTCCTGGTTTTAACCCTAGTGGCGGGTGCGTGCTGCTGAAGAACCCCAAACTAATGTGACGAAACAGCTGTTCAATACTCCCAGGTTTTCCAGTGATCAAAAACTTCATAATCTCTTAGGTGATAAGATAGTTGCTGCCTTTCTGGCTTGTAACTTCCTATTTATTTTGTCACTAAACACATGTCTGTTCAGTAAAGATATGACTTATCCCTTAACTCAGGCATTTAAATCCCAGTCATATTTAGGTGGGACGGAGGAGGAAGAGACGGAGTGATACAATACAACCGTCCTTTACACTATAAAATCTGATCTAAAGCCTGTAACGGGTTGTGCAGTTACATTACTTTTTTGTTCCTCTACGTTCCGAGTGCGATGTAGAGCTTCGGACTCCAACTATGAAGTTTCACCAGCGGTAATGTTGTCTCTTCACCGAGCTAATTAATGGCTAAACGAGACTTAAGAATTCGTTAGCCAGGGATCAAACTGCCCATCACATGAGCACTTTACGAGGATTGTTCCCCTGAACAACAGACGCACGTAGAGTTATTACATTGCTGTTTATCTATTTTCATCCTTAATCTTCCGTCACCTATTAGTAGGATTTCTTTCATCTCCTTTTTTTATTTATTCTACATATGTATTCACCATTTTTTTACAGATTTTAATACAGGGCATAAATTTACGTGAACTTGATATGACAGTGTATAGAAATCAAATAGGCTGTGTACAACAAGAACCAGTTTTGTTCGATGGTACTATACGTGAAAATATTCAATTGGGTAAATTGGATGCTACAGATAAAGAAATTGTCGCCGCTGCTATGGAAGCTAATGCACATCAATTTATTATGAATTTACCACAGGTAAATTATAAAAGAAAAAGTCGTTAGTGTTTTTTATATTTGGCAATTATTATTATTATTATTACTGTTTCCTTTAATTCCTAGAGGAACATAGGGCTTCGGCCGTGCGTCTCCATTGCGTTCGGTTCTCTGCCAACGTTTTCACCTGGCTCCATGTCTGTCCACATGCTTTCATCTCTTCTTCACATGACCTCCTCCAAGTCACCCTTGCACTGACGACCAACCCGCCGCTTCCCATTCGGCTCCCACTCGGGCGATGGCCTGTACTGCGCGCGATGTCATTTGACGGCCTGCTACATATCTTTTAGGCAATCAGCTCTTAGTCAGTTGGTTTGTTGCTAGCCAGAGTTTCTTGTTGCTAATTCTTTCTGGCCAGCTGGCCATTTGAACTTCAGTATGGAGCCAATGAATGGGGCAGCTGTTGGTAAATGTCTGTGGCTTGTTGGAAATGCTTTTTGTGACACGCCGTTTCTGACCCGTATATCAGAGCTGACTGACTGACTTTACACTTGTGTTGGAAATCCGAACAACAACCAGCAACGATCACTATCAAAGGGCGAGATTTAACAGAGGTTACTTCGCGGCTTCGCTTATCTAGGAAGCATCGTTTCAAATACAGGCAGTTGGGACGGATGAAGATGTCAAATTCATAATCGGAAAGGCAAGTTACGCCTTCATCAACCTGGAACCAGTTTTGAAATCTTCTGCACTCACTCAGCATAAAGGAAAACGTTCCGATTTCCAACACAAATGTGAAGTCAATCAGTCAGTTTTTCTATATGGGTCAGAAACTTGCACTGCAGGTCACAAAAAGCATTTCCAACAAGCTACAGGCATTTATCAACAGCTGCCCCTTCGCTAGCTCCATACAGAAAATCAGTTGGCCGGTCAGGGTGAATTAGCAACAAGAAACTCTGGCAATAGTCCAATGACGCTGAGGAAACGGTAAAGTGATATCGTATGCCACGTCATCACTCGAGTGAAATTCGAATGGGAAATGATGAGTGGGTCGTCGATGCGAGGGTGACATGGAGGAGATCGTACGAGGACGTGATGAGAGACTACAGCCAATTATTTACTCAGCCTAAGAGGATATCAGAGGATAGAACAAAGTGGAGTTGTGTTGTTGAAGCCCTATGTTCCACTCGGAACCTAATGGAACCATAATAAGATAATATAATAATAAACTAACTCACTGTACCACAAATTAATCTAAAAACCGGTTGAATCTGAAGTTCTTAAAAATGAAATGATGTTTATATCATACCGTAATCAGTTCCTCATGTGCAATCCGAATGAAAAACAACGAGTTTGGCATGTGTCATGGAGGAGGTCATGTGAGCAGTCGTTAAGTCAGACAAAAAATGACTGTAGGAAACAGACTGAAATGAAAATGTGCTGCTGAAGCCTTGTGTTCCGTTTGGAACTTGATCGTTTAAAGCAGCTTCTATTAGTGCACTTGCTATACTTTAAGGATAACTGAAGACGCATTAGGAAGACATAAGGTTTTAAACAATAAATAAAAGAATTAAAATAAGATCACTGTGATGAAGTATATAGCATTAATTACTATTTATAATGTAGGTTAAGGCACCAGATATTATTTGCTCACGCAGCAGAATGTTGGAAAAAAGATAGCTTCGTATTTTCAAGGCCTTCCTGGTTAATTTTCCTATTGGCGAAAAGTTCAACACAAATTAAGCCAGTAAAGGATTACAAGGCGAAGTCAATCACCAAAGAAGTGGAGCAAAGGAAACACTGAGCTGAACACTTCAAAAGACTTCTAAATCGACTGCCACTTAAAACGTGCCCAATAATACCAACAGCGGAGGCAGAGCTACCATTGAACACCAACCCTCCGACGAAATCAGAAGTCCTGAAGGTAATCAAGATGCTAAAAGCTGGAAAAGTAGCAGGACCAGATGGAATCCCAGCAGAAGCATTGACAATAGACCCAGAGACAACAGCGGACTTGATGACACCATTACTGGAGAAGGTGTGGAAAGAGGGCAAAGTACCCGAGGATTGGAAGAAAGGCTACTTATTCAAACTGCCAAAGAAAGTAGACTTAATTCAGTGCAAGAACTGGCGCGGAATTATGCCCCTGTCCATCCCAAGCAGAATACTAAGCCGTATCATCCTGGAGAGAATCAAACATGCCACCCCGGATGAAAAACTTCGACCGGAACAGGCTGGATTCAGGAGAAACAAGTCATATATCAATCAAATCGCAACACTACGGATCATTATTGAACAGAGCTTGGAATGGCAGCCACCTCTCTACCTCAACTTCATTGACTTTGAAAAGGCCGTCGACAGCGTCGATCGGGAGGTGATTTGGAAATTTCGCAAACAACTATACATCTCATTCAACAGTTGTACGACAATGCTGCATGCCAAGTAATCCACAACTGGAAAACTCACGGAATCCTTCGAACAAGTGAAGATGGGAGTAAGACAAGGCTGGATGGCTGGCTGGCTGCCTACTATCTCCAATGAATTTCCTGATGGTGGGCGGTAGACTGGATAATGCGACAGAAAGCGCGAAGCTTCACTAATTGAAGTCAATTCACAATTAAACTCAAAAGACAGTTAATGAATGCCATAACAACTTGTCACTCATATTGATTTTTTGTTGTCAAGTTTTGGCTGTCATCAAAAAAATATAATAAATTACTTCATAATATCAATCATTTAAAAACTTACTTTCACGTTGTTTTTCTGTTTTACTGATGGTATCATGTGAATAAATTTCGTTATATTTTTGCTGTCTTGATGGAAATGCCGTTTCTCTGCTTCAGTTGAATTCAAGGAAACACGTGAAGTAAATTTAGATATTTTGTGAAAAAAAAAACAACGATTGATTACTTACCTGAGTGAATCTTACTTGTAATTATTGGTGAAAAAACCATGTGTCGTTATTTTAGAGATGTAAATTTTATACCTGTAAATTTTAATGTCTCTATCGTTAACTTCAAAGTGAAAGTGAGGCCTTTGAAACTCGCTATGAATTTTATAACCGTTTTGCTTGATGAAATCGTGTGTGATTCACTGTCTCCACGTGTTTTCTCCATTTTTTTTGTTTACATTTTCATATTCACTTGTATTGATAGCAACTAACCGCATTCATCAGCTATATAGTGAAACGGTAAAGTTCAAGAATAGGGTCCCAGGAGTGCGAACGCTCCAATGACCTTGAAAGCATGTTAGTCGTTGGCTAACGGCACCTATCATTATCATAGCTGGAATATCAACGATATTTACAAACTTAGCAGCAAATTTCAGCCAGATCACGTTTTTAAGTACTGTTCGGACAATGTGTTAATAGCTCGTCGGGATTAGAATTAGGGTTAAGGATAGTATTGGGGTTAGGATTAAGGTTAAGGTTTATTATCCACATTCTCCTGGTAAGTATTCGTCGATCCTCTTACTGGAAACCATAGTAATTCAACTGAGGGCTTTGAGGAGGACTGCACAACGGTAAACGAGAGATGAATGATTCGCAACGAACAGCTCATCTTCAGTCACCTCGGTGAATACATGTACAGAAACTAGTCTTACTAGTCTAACTTAACAACTAATACTTCTCATTATAACTGGGAAGTTTTTTAAGTCATGTCATAGAAAGATAATCTGTTTAATGTTTTTTTCATGCATTTTCTTGTGAATATACGTCATTTTTGTGCGAAAATTCCTAATTTTTATGATTGGTCGGTTGAAGGACACTTGTGCGTTCGCATCCCTTGAGACGCTATTGTTGAATCATTGATATAAGAATAAAACTAGTGCACTCTGGTAGAGTGCAATTCCATTATGGGTAAATTTTATTTTGATAAAGTCTCACAGTGTTATACAGTAATGTTTACTGATAACGTTTCGAGCACCTTGATATGATTATGAGCAATAAATTGTGTTCGAAACGTCATCAGTAAACATTACTGTATAACACTGTGAGACTTTATCAAAATAAGATTTACCCATAATGGAATTACACTCTACCAGAGTGCACAAGTTTTATTCTTATATCGATGAATTAATACCTCTGCCTCTATGTTATCCTTTGCTCGGCCGAACTTGCAGGTGCTATCGAACGTAGCGGCGGGATATATTTCTCGACGAATGTCCTATTTACCTAACTTCACAAGAGCAAGTGAACATATAAATACGCATGGAATTAGACAATCGAGGTAACATTTCCATGACATTAAGGCCGGCGGCAGTGGAATGCCAGAGTAGTTTATTCGTAAAATCGTACGAAAAACAGTTTTTCTCAATGATTTCGTCAGACGATTTCTAAGTTTAGGTGTAACACGTTTTTAGGCCACCTTGTCAATCTCTGTATTTCTCTTACGTAATTTTCTACTGGCCTATACGAAGCATAGTGGATTATTATTGTTATTTTCCCTAAGAACAATTTCCGGTTTTATTTCATTTGTCCCATTTATTAGTTTAAATCCATCTAATCTTTGCAATATTAAAATCCTTTATCTCATCAAACTCCTCACCGTGTTATGCAATGTTTTTTTTAAAAATTTACCCACTAATCTTATTAATTTTATATCCCTTTCCAAGATCTATTATGTTTCAGTCATCACTTATGGTATCAAAGAGATCACATGCTGTGATTTAGTCAATTTCGGTTTCCAAAGGAAACTGGTGAAGTTTCACCCCCACCCTCCCGCACCCTGTCCTCGAATTGTGTAAATTGCAAATTGCGAATTGGATACAAAGCATTACCAATTCTCCAAGACAGCTGTTCAGAATTCGAAGAGTTTGAACTGATTCGGCTGTTTGAGTTGAGTAAAACGGGGGTACACGGCTGACAAGCACGGTCCCAAACGCATTTCGATCTGGCTGATTGACAACTACTCACTACTGATCGAGTTATGAGTGGTATCCAACTACTCACCCCACTGAATCAGTAGTATATAGCATTATGAAATAGCCAATGTATTCATTTACTCATTTAACTGCCTTTTATTTATTTATTTATTTATTTTAATGGATTAGGGTTATGATACAATGATTGGTGAAAAAGGCAGTGGTTTATCCGGTGGACAAAAGCAGCGAATTGCTATTGCTCGTGTACTTCTACGAAAGCCTAAACTATTACTGTTGGATGAAGCTACTTCGGCTTTAGACACCCAGTCTGAGCGTATTGTACAAGCTGCATTAGATAAAATTGTCTACAAATGTACTGTATTAGTAATTGCTCATCGTTTATCAACAATTCGAAATGCTGATCGTATTATTGTGCTAGACCAGGGGTGTATACGTGAAGTTGGTACACATGAAGAATTGCTACAACTGAACGGGTTATATGCAACAATGTTACATGGGCAGGTAAGATTATTGCTTGAAATGCCGTGTGTATTTCAACACTATATTATAATGTTATATTATGATGCCACCATTGGTTTTTACCGTCTCGAGGACACCAACCAGAAAGTCTACATCTTCCTACGTGACTGGCTGACTTAGACTAACTGTAGTGGATTTCGTTGACTGATGAAGCCATGTTTTGGTTCAACCACAAGTGGCTCTTCTCCAAACTGACCCTATGTCAGCTAACCTTGCGCGTCGAGGAAGGCGATGACTAGGCATGTGTAACACATGTCCTAACCATCTCAGTCGATGTAGCTTCACAACCTCTTCAATTGATTTCCTCTCCTTACCTAGCCCTCGACGCCTAACCATTATCACTATTATTATTCCTTGAGGTTTCGACCGGAGAAGAGGGCTTCAACAGAACATTTTGATTTCATCCTGTTCCCTGCAGTCTTCTTTGGCTGGCACCATGATTAACCATAAGCTGTCATCTCAGTGTATGATCAAGCCATCTCGATTTCCTCTGGCATATTCGTTGGGTAGTAGGTTTTTAGTTGATTTGTTGCTAGAGTTCCTTGTCACTTTTCCTTTTTGTTAGGTCTACGGTCTGTCTGTCTGTCTATCTATTTTCAACAAAGAACTTTGCACCGATATGCAGCAGTTCAAGTCGCCACACTCCCTCCATGTAGCACACAAACCAACAGAAGAAAGTAAAAAGAAATGCAAAACAGAAACAGTAAACAGAGATATGAGACAAAAGGAATAGTAATATGGAAGAACAATATAGTTTCATTGGAAATTATAAGTAACAAGGAGTGGATGCATCTGCGCCACCCATTGAGAACGAGGATTTTGAGCCATATCACCAATTGTCACCAGCCACCATTGGTTTTTACCGTCCCTAGGAACCCAACCAGGAAGCCAGTCTACACCTTCCTACGTAACTGGATTAGACTAACTGTTGTGGATTTCATTGACTGATGAAGTCATATTTCGGTTTAACCATCACGCGCTAGCTCTTTTCCAACCTAACACTATGTCAGTTAACCTTGCTCGTCGAGGAAGGTGATGGCTAGGGATGCACGCGTAACTCATGTCCTAACCATCTCAGTCGATGTAGCTTCACAACCTCTTCAATTGATTTCCTCTCCTTACCTAGCCGTCAACAGATAACCTCAGTATTGCTTACCCTACTCTACCACTTCACATGGGAGATAAAACGCCGGCACCTATGATCAAAGACAGCCAGACAGGTCTACGCTACTGAGCGGAGGAAGATTTCGGTGAAAGGCTGAAGTAGACTGTTGGAAATACTTTCCATGACACACCTACGATGTCTGTGAACCATATAAAAGCACTGAGTGTTACAAACCTGAATCTTGTTCCTTACGCTCACCGTAGTAGATCACCACACTGATTTTGTATTAACGAAGGTATTTTTGCTCTTCCGGATCTTTCTTTCGACCTCAGCATGTGTGTTTACTGCCTGTAGTCGAAACGACGCGCCGCGTAGATAAGTGGAAATTATAGTGTTGAAGACATCCTTGAATTCATTTATAACTTAGATAATGTAAATGTGAATGGGAAGCGAAGGTTATCTTTAGATGTTGTATTCCTGTTCACCAATGTAACACTTATAGAGACTGTGGAATTCATATGCCATTAATTACTAGAAAAGCAGTTCGGTATCAGAATTCAAACTGTTAGTTTCAAGGAGCCGTTTCTAAGATGCACTATGAATGTACACTTCACATCCAACAACCTTTATTACATATTGATCTACGGTAATGACATGGGTTCTCCAGTGAGACCAATTTTGACAGATTTCTTTCTTGCTAAGCTTGAAAGTGGTCCATTGAAACAAGCAATACATGAAACGGATTCTTATTTTCGTTATGTTGATGATACGTTTATTATTCTTGATGTGAAAGCTGACAAGAATGAAATGTTAATACAACTTAATGATGCACACCCATCACTCATGTTCACTTGCGAAGAAAAACATAGTGGTAGATTGCACTTCCTTGACGTCAAATTGAACAGAAGAGAGGATGGTTCACTCAAGAGAGATGTCTATAGAAAACCTACTTTTGTAGGACAGCATACACATTTCCTCAGTTTTGTACCAATCCGATACAAAATCAATTTGGTCAGATGCCACCTCACGAATAGAGCAAGGCGGATCTGTATAGATGACTCCCTAGAAAATGAATCCGTATACATCCAAATACACTGGTCCAAGTGGGTTATCCTAGTAGATTTGAGAAGCCGTAACCGGTAAGGTACAGCAGGTTGGAAGTGAGGCAGCAACTCATCGAAGAAGACATAGGAAACCTGTAGGGAGTACTGGACAGCCGTCTCGTCCCACTAGTTAGGGACTCTTCTGCAGTACACACCCACCCTACTGAGTTTCGAACCCACGACCTTCCGGTCACGGTTACAAGGCAAAATGGTAGACCATTAGGCCCCTGAGACCGATCGAATTCAATGGCCAGTCCATAAATTCCAACTTCTGCCAATTCATGATATTTTCAAGTACTGGTTTTGCAAGGATTTTCTGTTCGCCCTATTCAGGCAGTTACCTCGGAGTTCTAGTGGGAAGCCGTGACCAGTAGGGTACAGAAGGTCGAAGGTGAGGCAGTAAAACATTGTAGAAGACATTGTGAAGTAGTCGCGCTGTTACACGCGTGAATTGACAGAAGTTAGAATTAATGGGTTGGATAACCGTTGGATTGGGTGGGTAGCAGTGGCTTAGTGGTTTACGAGCTCGCTAACCTTGTAACGGTAACCAGAAGGTCGTGGGTTCGAACCTCAGTAGGTTGAGTGCGTACTGCTGGAGAGGTAGACCCAAACTGGGACGAAATAGCTGTTCAATACTACTAGCTGGTTTTCCAATGGTTCTGTAACCTCATGCATTTATTCCCCTTGGTGAATTTAAATAAAGCAATAACAACAGTGATTTGTGCAGAATAATATGGTACCATCATTTATTTCGTCGGCTTCTCATCAGCTGCTCACAGCCTAAATAAATTGTGAGGTTTACGCACAGAAAAGTTTTAACATACTTGCAAATTTTACATGTTGTCAGTTGACAGAAAGTTCCACAATTAGTGAAAAGTGTTCAGAAAATTGTGCTTATATAGTTTTTACACAGGCAGTTCAAGTCAAAATAAATGTATGCATACAATAGTAAAGGAGTTACGTAATAAAGACGAGAGGTGAGTAAGATGATGAGTAACTAATAAATTTGGTAACGATGTACTGAGTTCAAATCACGTCATAGAAACTAGAGACAAGCAATATTACAGATTATAAAAAAGAGGAGTGAGGTTAAAGACAAAGACTACGTAATCAGAGTAGAGAATAAAGACATGCAGTTACCATGGCAAGGAAACACTAATAACTGCTTCTTTCTGAACACATAAATCTGGTTTGAAGCGTTTGATAGAAATTGCTTCGGCAAACTTGAGGAGAATGGAGCCCCTTTGTTTATTGATAATTTTAAAGGATTTCTCGATTTCCACCTCATGACCCGTGTTGAGGTTCTGTAACCGATGTCAGCTCATGATAAAATCCCCCAAACAATTTAGTGATGTGTTATTCTGAATCTGAGATATCTTGTATTTATGGGGTGTATTTTTTATGCAGTGGGAATATGTATCTTTTGATAGCTTTAAGTTTATTGATTAAACTTTCTCTTCTACAGTGTACTGATTGTAACTCAATGATGTTGAAAAAACTTCACTTAATTTTCTTTTAATCTTACTTACTTCAGGAGAAGCAAACAGACGACTCTTCAGACAGTGAAAAAGAATATTATCATGTTGATTCAGATATTTATGATCAAAGGAAAAGAAAACTGCCTTACTCAAATCCAGTTTCATCGCCGACAGATAAAGACTGCTATTCTGAATGCAATGTAAGTTAACCAAGTAATAATATGTAATATATATGGACAAGTTATGCTCATTTATTATGCTGTTTTACTTGAAAACAGTAAGTAAGAACAGACACTACTGATCACGAACTAAGTTTAGTTAGAGAACCACTTAAAACTAGAGAGAGTACTGAACAGGTGTTTCGTCCTTTTTGAGGACTCTTCATCGACAACACTTGACCAGAGATTCAACCCAGGACACGTCCGTTGAACATTCAGCCACTGATGCAGAATGCAATAGCCCATCAATTCTAACTGCTACTAGTTCGCAATTTACATCCCCTGTCGCCAGTCATTGTCATCGGAGGGGATATTTATCCTGACAGCCTTCTTAGCGAACACCACGATACCTCACTAGAATGCCAGGCGACGTCATACTGTTGTCAGTTACTAGTGAGCATTGGATCGATACAAACGAAGTCAGAAAGTTGTATGAGTACACTGATATGATTATGAGCAGCAATAAATTGTGCTCAAAATATCATTAGTGAATAAATATTGTTAGAACAAGACATATAAGCGAACACTATTGCTGTTTTCAATGAGATCCGGCTTTTCTATGTGAATGGCCAGAGCTTCCATGATACAAAGAAGACGAAACCGCATCGCCTTTGATAGGTTATTCTTTACTTTGTAGATTACTTTGAACGAGGCGTTTGTTGAAATGGAATGATCAGTGTTAACCAGGTGTTCAGTTATAGCACTCCTTAATGTACACATACATACAAAATAACATATATATTTGCGATTGTACAGCTAAGAAAGTGAATTCCCCGAAAAGAAACTCTTTGCTGATCTAAGTGATCTAAGCAAGGCACCGTGTATCAAATCATGTCATACTGAATGCAGTCTGGTCGACTCATTCCATTCACACTGCGATAATTTATGGAAAGTTTGATACCTGTTTCCCATTTTGGGGAAAACAGCTGGTCCTAATTCTGGTGCGACTCAGATTTTTTTTCATTTCAGCTTTAATCCTAACCAGTCACATCAATAACAGGGTGATTACCCACCCAAATCTATCTCAGATAGTCCCACTGTTAAATTGAGAACTGTTGGAAGATGGTTGACACCATTCAGCAGAACCAACTTTTCGACAGAATGAAAATGTTTTCAAGAGTCGGTTTGCAAGGATTAGATTTGCTTTTTTACGAGTTAGACAACAGATTGATATCAGTTAGAGAACAATTGAAAACCAGAACCAAGGAGTACTGCCAGACAGCTATTTCATTCTAGTTTGAAAATCATCGGTAGTACTCACCCACCACAGGGGATTCGAACCCAGGACCTTCCGGTTACAAGCAGGCAAGCTCGTATACCATTCAGCCACTGGGACCCGATTCAATGGCCAGTCCATGAATTCTAACTTCTACCAATTGGTGATTTAGCGCGACTGGCACCAGCCAATATCATCGGTGGGGAAATCAATCCTCACACTTGACTGGCTGGGCCTTACTGATCACGAATTCTCACTAGAACTCCAGGCAACTTTATCCTGTAGCAAGTCAGTCACTGGCGAACATCATATTAATTTTCTATAATTGGTTTGTGAGGATTAAATTTGTTTGTTTTTTTGACGGCAAAGAAAGAAGTTTATTAGTTATGCAATACTTTAATCTACCATTATAATATTTTCTAAATTAATTTTCCTTCATCTGATATAAACAGTACTCTTATCTTCTCTTGTATTATTATGTATTTCTAGAGTACTTCTACAGTTGCCTTGTCAAATTCAAAACCAGTAAAAACTGTACGTTGGGTAAAGTCCTCGTTAAGCTCAAAGGTAAGGTATTCACTTGTCTTATCTAATAAATATGAGTATATTCGACGCCAAAATCGTCATAACTGACATCATTTAGAGAACCATTGAAAACCAAGCGGCGGTGGACATAGTCATAGCTGAGCACTGTTAAATCAGCCCCAAAGTAGGGTTTTGGTTTTGATTGATTGGTTCTCTTTAATCGATGTCAATTGGTGACGAAATCTGCGTTAAAATGATTCAGAATCTCTACAAAATCTCAAGACCCAATAAGTATGAATGTGTGTGATTATCGTTAATTTTACTAATTAATCTATGACTTGATATGAAGTGAAATGAATATTTCCGATGAAGAAACTTCTTTTTTCGGGTATTTCATTTCACTTTGATATTTGTACAGTCGTATTTGTGTACACGATGTTCAGTAGACGGGTATATTCGTTGTGTATATTGTATGCCGAGAAGACCGCTGATTGACACCAGAGACAAGGCAGGCCTTCAAGTGGAAACCTGATGAGAAGTGACAAGTTGGTGGTGTCCGTTGGTGAAGTGGATGAAGTATTTTTTATATGAGGAGGGAATGAAAGTCTGTGGGCAACAGCACAGCCAGTTGGAAGTGATAACGGTGAACCTGGCGGAATAAAGATGTGTTGCTGAAGGCCCTTTTTTGCACTCGGAACTCAAACAACGAATAATACTAATATTAGATAGTTGTAGGCAATCGGTAGAAAGCCACGCCTGACCTAGGTTTCGTGCTAGTTGGCACTCATCAGCAGGGCATATCTGCAACCCTGAAGGGACTCATGTCTTTTCTGAGATTGGAACCCGCGTCAGCAGCCAGTACTGCAGTCAAAGACGTTACCACTGAGGTATTTGGGCTCGCGATTGACCTCCTGTAGGACTGTAGTGCGTATTTTGATTGGACACCAGTAACTAGTGTGACGTGTCTAGTCCTTTCTTTGGTGCAGACTGAATTCTGTCAGTCAGTCAGGTTTGCAATGTGGCCACCATTCTAGGTAGCTCGCCATCATGGTGCACATTGATTTGATGATATTAGATAGTTGGAGACAATCGGCAGGAAGCTAATTATACTAATAATTTGTGAAATGAGGCGAAAACATCTACCTTTTTATTCATATTATACTCTGCCTTTACACGTTCCATGCTACTGATAAGTTTAAGTAAGGCATGTTAAGAGTAGAAACTCTGAAAGATTATATTGCTTGTCTGTATAGTTCCTCCACAATCGTGTCATGGGCATTCTTAGGTAACATATTATTAGACAATCATATTATAACAGCTGTTTTCTACACAGACAATTTGTGATGTGTATTTTTGATCTAAGCAGACATATGAGTCCTCAAGACCCTCGATTGGGACCCGACTGGGAAACAACACGATTCAGGTTTCTGACAGTTTCATGGTGGAGATCGCGTAAGGAGGAAATAAGAGTTGATGACCAACTGTGGAGCGACCTTAGAAGGACTTCCATATTAGTTTGTTTATCAGATGGATCACACAGTGAGTGAAACAGTATTATTTACTGGATGACAAGGTTTCGAACATAATCTATTATTGTTCATAATCATCTCACCAATTATAATCACACGACTTCGAAACTTCAGTTTTATAGTTTTCTTTGTTCTCTCCTATTTGTCCTTGTAGGCGGGGTAGTAGAGTTTTCCAGATATCTGGGTGAACAGGTGTTGAATCATTCCTATTGCACGTGTTTGCAGTTGATTCGATAGACAACGCTTCTGTTATCAATCTCTCCTTCCACTCTGTTACATTATATTTTGAAACTGTCATCTAACTCCATCCCATCCTATTGTATGGTTGTGTGTGAATGCATGCAGTGAGTACTATAGCTGAACTATTCTCTAGATTTCTTATCTTATTATTGGGGTCAACTAATCTAGATTTTACTTGGTTTTTATGCTCAGCTAGTGTGACTGCCCCTGTTCTACTACTTTAACCTATGTATTTGACCCGACAATCATTGCAGGCAGGGTATTAGATAAACTGAATTGTTTTGTTTTAAAGACTCAGGTTAAATAGAGAGAATAGTTCAGCTATACCGCTCACTACATACAATTACATACAACTATACAATAGGATGATGGGATAAGATGACAGTTTCAGGATCTAATGTAACAGGGTGAATGGAGGGAGAGATTGATGACAGCGGAAGCTTTGTTTATCGAATCAACTGAGAGGACATACGTGTAATAGGAATTATTCAACACCTGTCCACCCTGATATTTGGAAAATTCGACTACCCCACCTACGACGACAAATAGGAGAGAACAAAGAAAACTATAAAACTGAAGTTTCGGAGTCGTGGGATTATAATTGATGAGATGATTATGAAAAATAATAGATTGTGTTCGAAACCTTATCCTGCAGTAAATAATACTGTTTCACTGTGTGGTATATCTAATAAACAAACTAATATGGAATTGCATGGAGGATTTCATCATGAGCTGACACCAGTTAGAGAACCACTGGAAAACCAGCTGGGAGTACTGGACAGCTGTTTCGTCCTAGTTTGGGACTCTTCAGCAGTACGCGCCCCATGGGATTTGAACCCAGGACCTTCAGGTTACAAGGCGAGCTCGTAGACCACTGAGCCACTGGGACCCGATCCAATGGTCCTTGAATTCTAACTTCTGCCAGGTTGAGGATGAGGCAGTAACTCATGGAAGAAGACATTGCGAAATAGTCGCGCTATGTCGTGAATTGGCAGAAGATAGAAGTCAAGGACCATTGGATCGGGTCCCAGTGGCTCAGTGGTCTACGAGCTCGCCTTGTAACCTGAAGGTCCTGGGTTCAAATCCCATGGGGCACGTACTGCTGAAGAGTCCCAAACTAGGACGAAACAGCTGTCCAGTACTCCCAGGTTTTCCAGTGGTTCTCTAACTGGTGTCAGCTCATGATGAAATCCTTCATGCAATTAAACAAAATCCCTACCAAACCAATACTTGAAAATTAATATGGAATTAGTTACTCCCACAGTGCCCAGACTCTACACATATACTAGAAGGACTTCAGGGAATGGAGTAAACTGCCTATGTGCTGCTGCAGTTCAACATATTCCACTCAGAACTCAAGGAAGTAGCAATAATAATATCTTAAAAGGTTGTATCCTAGAAAATATCCGATCATATATGTCACAGTAGAGAAAAATGATGTTTTATGAAACCAGTGTTCCAAAGGTCACCAATATACATATTGTCATTAACAGCTCAAATATTTCAATGGACTCTAGCCTAGCACACCTAATTGAACATAAATCTTAATTCGATTTGTTTCTATGATTAATCAAAGAATTATTTACTGAAATTATTTTTTTGAGATATATATGTATTATATATCAAGGTTTAAAGGTCTTTTGAAAAATTCTCTCAATATCTCTCACACTAATTGGCGATTGTTTTCATTAATTTTTTAAAAGTCAATCTGAACGAAGAATATTCTTTTCAATAAGTTCTCCTCTTCAGGTTCTTACAGTTATAAAATGTAATATTTACTGTCGTTACAATAATGATAGCCAGTTATTTATGCGGTGGATACATTTTTAAACGTAGAATAACAGATTATGAGTTATGGGGTGTCCAAATAAATAATCGTATTTGTGTGACAAACGTGCTAGGCTGAAATTGATTACAAAATATTTCGGCGAAATGGGAGACAATGGTGGTGATGAGTCATAATAGGTTTGCAGAGTGTGGGGTAGGAAAATGTTGACAAGTCAGTTCAAGGTTATAAAAGGTGTCAGGTGAGAGAGTGGCTAGTGCAAAGTGGTCTGTATTAAACAGGAGATAGTAAGACTGCAATGAGAGGTTCATAATGAAATAACGAATGTGTGAAATGAAACAGGTGGAGGCATGTATTAAGAAAAGAGGTAATGTCACAAGTAATAATTCCGAATAGTATAAGTGGAAAATTCGATAGTATTGAGAGAATGTTTGCATGAAGGGCATAAATTATAACAAAGAATAATAATAACTAATGATAAGCAAAGAAAAAATCCCATGAGGGTTAAGGAGAAAAAGCGCTCTTGGTGAGAAGATGAAACTTTAATCCATGTTTGGCCACGGTGTTATTATCTCCTGTTTAATACAGACCACTTTGCACTAGCCACTCACTCACCTGACACCTCTTATAACCTTGATCTGACGTGTTGATTTTTCCTTCCCCACATGCTACGAATCGATTTTGACTAATCACCACCATTGTCTCCCATTTCACAATATTATGTAATCGACTTCAGCCTAAGACGTTTGTCACACAAAAACGACTATTTATTTTGTCACCCCATAACTGCTAATGTATCCGACGCATAACTAGCTATTATTATTGTAAGGACAACAAATGTTATATTTTATAATTGTAAGAACCCGAAGAGGAGAAATTATTGAAAAGAATATTTTTCGTTGAGATTGACTTTTAATTCATGATATATGGGAATATTTCACACTATTAAATCAATAATTTTTTTTCTCCAGATTTCTACATTTCGTGAATCAATGTACATACGTCTGTTATTAGTGAATCGTCCAGAAGTTTTATTCATTGTGTTAGGCTGTTTATGCTCAGTGATATCAGGATTATTACAACCAGCGTTCGCCTTACTCTACTCTGAAGTTTATCAGGTAAGTCTGCGCGAAACCTGTATGGATAGAAATACATTTTATATTACCAGTCATTCCTCATCAGCAGAAAAACCCTTCAAAGCAATATATAAGGTAGGGCCAAGTCACTCAAAGAGTTTCCACCAACCACAGTTGGTGGCCGTGAGTTGGCATAAGTTGTATCAGCACCAACGGATTGATTGGCGACGAAATCTCAGCACGGATCCAAAAAGCTCGGGCTGCTTTCGCTAACTTACACCGTCTCTGGCGTAGGCGTGACATCCGGCTATCAACCAAGGGACGTGTGTACTGCTCAGCAGTTCGCCCCATCCTTCTCTATGGCTCTGAAATACGGCCAATACGAGTTGAAGACATGAAAGAAGGTTGACTGTTTTTGACCACAGATGTTTACGATCTCTTTCTCACGTTGAGTGGCATAATAAGGTAAGTAATGTTGACGTTAGGCGTAGAGTGTTGGGCAAAGAGGGAAAATCAATCGAAGAGGCTATACAGTTACAGAGATTGAGATGGCTAGGTCACGTGCTGGTCATGCCTAACCATCGCCTCCCGCTCCCGACGGGCATTACTAGCTGATATAGGTGCAGGTTGGAAAAGAGTAAGTGGTGGCCAAACAAAAACATGGCCTCATCAATCCATGAAATCCCTGACAGTTAAACTGAGTCAGTCAGGTAAGGAGGGGAATGCAGACTTCCGGGTTGGGGCCCGCCCTCGGGACTCTAAGAATCAATGGCTGGAGACAATAGGTGACATGGCTCAAATTCGTTGCCAATGGCGCAGATGCATTCAATCTCTGTAATCTTTCATATTCCTTTCTACCATTACTCATTCTGTTTCACTCTTCTACTTGTCAAAACTCTATTGATTCTCTTCACTCATTTTCTTGTCTACCTTTGTGTGCTATTTGGAACGTGGCAACTCGAACTGGTGCACTTCGGTGGCAAGTTCTATGCTGAATCTAGCCATAAGTTAGAATTGATGGGTTCTGGGTTCCATCACTGGTCGGCGTCATGAGGCCGCATACTGTTGAAGCTTTTTCCTCTTTCTGACATCAGTCGTAAAGAACTCCATTTTGAAATAAATTCTATGTTTATGGACTTAAAAATTGAATCAGTTTTTGCAGAATTACGTAATATCGTCATTTACTTCATCAGTTCCTCTTCAGTGGCATGAAAGCTGAAAAAGATGAAACGTGTTAACCTGCGTTTGAAGGTGACATGAAGTCATAATTATTACCAGTAGACTGCATAAAAAGACAATAAACAGAGCTCACAGTCTCATGTGAACAGATTAAATATAATCTCTGTACACATATACTTCACAAGACTTTTCAGGTTACGCGCAGCTGAAGAGATGCGATCGCTTTATTCTGCACGAATCTTTGTCCCCTGTTTGACTTCATTCAAATTCATAAAGTAGAATAGAGTGTATGATGAATTATAACTGTTTTTCAAATCGTTCTTATCCTAATTTGTCTATAAAAAAGCTCAGTGGACGACTCGTGTATAGTGATAGAGTGACAGAGTCGCATCTATCTCAAAATTATCGTGAATCTGTCATTGTAGACAGTTATTTTCTGACACATTATTCTATAATGCCTACAGGGTAATTCATAACTATCCACATATTTGACTGAAATCATGATAAGAATCAAAATCACCATAAAGGTGACGCTTTTAAGCCCAAAATAATGTACATTAACAATTATCCATGATGTTGATATAAGGATAAAACTTGGGCACTGTGGTGATAGAGTATAACTCCATTAAGGATAAAAATTTGTTATTTTGATAAAATCATACAGTGTATTGTCATATAGTAAGTAATATTTACTGATGCCACCACGTTTCGAGCACAAACTATTATTGCCACTCATAATCATATCAAGGTACTACTCACACAACTTTCTTGCTTCATTTATATACATGAGTAAACCTTGATGATTAGACATTTGAATAAAATCAGTAATGTTTTTATGAGTTGATCACGGATTGATATCAGTTAGAAAACCATTGAAAACCAGGGAATCCTGGACAGCTGCTGTTTCATCCTAGTTTGGGAATCATTGCCAGTACGCACCCACCACAGGGGCTTTCGAACCCAGGACCTTCCGGTTACAAGGCAAGCTCGTATACCATTCAGCCACTGGGACCCGATTCAATGGCTCATGAATTCTAACTTCTACCAATTCGTGATTTTAGCGCGACCCCAAACATTGTCGTTGGTGGGACATCCATCCACACACGTAACATCTAATTGGACCTCACTGGTGACGACTTCTCACTAGAACTCCAGGAAACTCCATCCTGTAGCAAGTCACTAGCGAGCATCAGATTAATTTTCTATAGTTTGGTTTGTAAGGGTTGGTTATATTTTTACGAGTTGGTTGGGGTCGTGCGAAATCACGAATTGGTAGAAGTTAGAATTCATGAGCTATAAATCGGGTCCCAGTGGCTGAATGGTATACGAGCTTACTTGCTTGTAACCGGAAGGTTCTGGGCTCGAATCCTGGCGGTGAGTGCGTACTGGCGATGAATCCCAAACTAGAATGAAACAGCTGGCTATCCAGTACTCTAGTGCTGGTTTTCAATGGTTCTCTAACTGATATCAATCCGCGATCAACTCGTAAAAACATAACTAACCCTTAAAAACCAAACTAGAGAAAAATAAAGTCAGTAATGTAAGATAAAGCTCATTCGGAAGTAATAATATTAGTGTTATCAATCAAATATAATAATATATATTTAGATTTTAATTCATCTCATCTGTTATCTATCTGTAAAGGCAGGCTTAGTTAAGTGCTTAACAGACCGAGCAGTAGCACTACGTAGTACAAGAAAAGACCTAAACGATGAAATGAAACAGATGGGAGAAGCGTCGGTGTTAAATAACTATCCTACAAAAATTATTAGGAAGATCAGAAAAGGCCGAAAGCAAAATAAAAATAATAAATGGTGAAACTAATAATGATAACATACATAAAAGAGAATATAAGGCATTCACAGTAGTTTTACCATATAAGGAGGCGACATCTGAGACCCTACGTATGATTCTTAATAAAGCAGCATTCAAACCTACAAACTCACTCAGGTAGGACAAGCTCTGTAGTTTAAAGGACCCTGGTGACCCAATTAGAGAAAATAATATAATTTATGAAATACCCTGCAATGACTGTGAGTGAGGTCAACTACATAAGTCAAACTAGTAGACTGCGGGGTAGTCAAATTTTCGGAACATAAGAATTTATCTAAGGTAAGAATGGTTGACCCCGAGAAAATAATTAATTTAGAAAAATGCTCAGCTATAGCACTGCATGCATTAACACACAACCACACAACAGGGTGGGTGGGAGAGAGTTAAAATTCTAAAAAGTAATCCAGGTAGGTGGAGATTGAGAGAGATCGACTACTGAATCCTGCCTGGTTCATCAAGTCTACACACCCAACACAACACTTGCAATAGAAGTGACTCAACGCAAATACCAGAGATATGGAAGATATTATTACCACCAGTCAAATCAGAGCAGAATAATAAATAATGTTAAAATGTATTCAGTTGAATTCACATTCTGACAAGTTATTTATTTATCCATTTTACTATAAAAACATCTTATTTCCCATCTTGTTGTATTTGATTGATAACACTAATATTATTATTTCCGAATGCACATTATCATCTTATATTGATTTTATTCAAATGTCTAATCGCATCAATGTTTACTCATGTATATAAATGAAGCAAGAAAGTTGTGTGAGTGAGTGCCTTGATATGATTATGAGTGGCAATGATAAATGGTGCTCGAAACGTGGTCATCAGTAAATATTACTTACTGAATAACAACACACTGTGTGATTTTATCAAAATAACAAATTTTATCCATAATGGAATTAGCCATAATTGCCTATAATTACTACATGATAATACTGTATGATCACATTTCATTAGTTTTTGTTGCGCTAAATGTGGACTACATTCATTCTAACAGATAATTAGGCTTTAAGTCATATCATCCGTTACCTGTAAAGGCAGCCTTAGTTAAATGTCTAACAAACTCAATTAGTAAATCAGAAAACCTGTATAATGAAGTGAAACAGATAGAAAAATCATTGATGCTGAACAACTATCCCAAGGAATTCATCAGAAAGTTCTAAAAAGCTCTGACGACAAGAGAAAAAATAATAACAGTGAGATTACTGAGCATAACACAAATAATTTAAGCCATTTATAGCTTGACTAAGATATGGAAAGGACATTAGAAAATCTACATAGGATTCTTAATGAAACAAGAGTTAGGATGGCATTTAAACCTACAAAGGGGTCCAGGACTGATTGCAGCACTCCCACCTCAAGAAAAACTGAAGAAAGATATCTCATGGATGTCTGTCTCCCAAAACAATGGATATCCACGGAATTTCATCAAAAGATATCTTCCCCACAGGCCACCTCACCAAATCAAAGCCCCCCCTCCAAGGAAAACACAAAGAAAATCGCCCAACCATATATAAAACACAACATCTCAGAAATCACTGTTAGACTCTTCGAACCCTTAGGAATTGATGTCGCACACAAACCAACAAAATCGCTTCACTCACTTAGCTAGCTGAGACTTTGTAAATTTTGGTTTAATAGTACCTTGATAAAGCTCTCAGCAGCATTAAGTAACGGAACGTCAGTACAAACAATACCGTTTTGTTTTTCAATCGTTGGGAAATACAAAAAACCTTCTTTTGAAAAATTTACATGGGCATTTTTGACCAGTTAAAATTCTTTATTACAAATGCTTATGATAGTAAATGATGTGTCGGTGGATCAGTGGTAAAATACTCACCAGGTACGGAAACTTTCAAGGTTCGATTCCTGACTGATTCATCCTTAAACCTAGCTAAGTCGACAGTAAGTCCAGGATAGCGATCCCACGCCGTTTCAAACAACATCGTAACCGAATTTATGAACCTCTATGCTCCACTCAGAATGCAAATGAATAAAGAAGGTTGATGATAGATGAGCGATGTTAAAGTATACCCACAAAATACTTCAGTTAGTCTGAGTGCCGCCATCAGGATATATAAGTAGAAACGAAGCTTTTTTGATGGAATAGGCCACATATACTAGTTTGATGCTCCTCCACTGTATAGTGGTGAGTATCTCCGCCTGTCTCATCGAAGGCCCGGGTCGGATTCCCGGTCAAGCAACTAGCTTTTGTATCGGTTGCACAACGATAGAATGCTCGCCAACCACTCAGGTGGTTCTGGGTTAGATCCCCGGCCACCGATGCACCCCTTTATCTCGTGAAGCTACTAAATAGGACTGTTAAAGATGGAAGATTGGGCATGAAGCTAGGAACGTCATCCCGTAAAAAGAAATACCGCTGCTACAGAAACCGCGTTGCTCTAGACTGAGACCTTATGTTCCACTGGGGACGTAATTGAATAAAATGGACAAAATAATACTAGTATGAAATAATGAAGATGAAATGAAAGTTTATGTGTGTATCCATGGAAACTGCTGTCTAGACATGACTATCAAACAATATTTGCTGCCTTAGACCAGCAAGATTTGAGTAACAGATATGAGCGATTTTGGTGGGGTATGCTTGATAGTATCATTCATAGCAAAATATGTTGAAGTATATAGAATATTATTCTATTTGATCATAGGGAATAAAAAGACAGTTGCAGCGAAGAAAATTTTCTTTTTGACGAAGTCACCGTCAGCTAGGCTCTGCATTCGTGTATTTATAATAAATAGGTGAGAAAGTTCCAGAATAATTTCCGGTCATAAGTCAAATTAATAAAACGATAATTAGGAATTAAAATGCCATAATAAACAGGGTGGGAGGCGGATAAAACTCAAACAAAATAGCATCATAATTACTGAGAGGATTCACATATTGTGCAATTAGGGGTTAGAAATGTAGAAATAACAAAAATATACAGGATGTTTGGATAAAAAAATGTAGTGGGTTCATAACTAATGTGACGAATAATTGTTTGTGCAATTAGGGATTAAATATGTAGGGATAATAAAATGACAAAATAGACAGGAATTTCGGATATGGTAGTGCAAATAGGGATTAAGAAAAACTTAAAAATAACATGAATAAACAGGAAGTTTGCATAAGAAAGGCAACGGGATAGTCACTATTAGAAGAATTACCTGATTATGATGACCATGGCAGAGGCAAGTAAGGGTTGGACGTATTTCTTTTGGATACATAGCGTGTGTTCGAGCTTTCAGATAGCTAGTGTCTCGGCTGTGCCCAGATGTCTTAATTCTACTCCCTTTGATAGGTTTGATCGAATATTGTATACATTATTTTGAAGGGTTTTTCGAATGGCTCTGAATGTCGTGAATTGACCAGTTTGTTTTTCTTTTATTTTGTCGTTGTAGGTATTTAGTCTTCGTAATGATCCAAATAGAATGAGAGAAAAAATAAATATGGTATCTGCTGTTATGGCTGGTTTAGGAGTTGTACAATTTATCATTGGTATTCTACAGGTAAATCTGCCTACTAATAGTGTATTTGGTTGTAGTTGTAGATTATCATTATTATCCCCTTGGGGCTTCGACACTGCCACTGTTTTGTCCTTTTTTCCGCTGTTTCCATTAGATGACTCCATGATTGCCCATAAGCTCTCATGTCTTCCTCATATAAACTCTTCTATGTCTCCTTCCGAGCCACGTCCAAATGGCTGTTTCCTATTCAGGTCCCATTTGAGGGCTGGCCTGGCTTGTGGTGTGCGCTTGTATAAATATGTATTCATTTTATGTGAACTATGACATGCTTGGTCAGTAATGAAGTCGGATAAGTGAGTGCTGTCGCCGATTTAGTTGATTCAAAGCTCATTGGCTTATGCACTTAACTTTCAAGCAGTTGGCTCCATACTGAAATCCCATTCTACCTTATTTTAGCCCGGACAACTGAGTAGTATCTCGTCCGTCTTAATTCATTAAAATGTGGTCAACAGTCTATCAGGCGAAAGACTATCAGTTGAATAACCTCCGGAAAATAAGCTTCACTAGTTTATCGTTGGCTCCATTTTAAAGCATCAAAGTCAACAACATACGATGCTAATTAATTTCTAAACGAGGTTTTTAAAAGAAATCTGCACAAGGAGTCGATATTTCAACCTGAGACCGAGTTTTTCGGTTGAATCAGTCGACGGGAAAATCTAAATTTAACTAAAAAGACGCGTTTCACGTGAGTTGGGTGTCGTGGCCCGAGTGGTCTAGTGAATAACGCTTTGGCTTTTGAAACTACGGGTACCGGGTTTGATTTGCAATTAAAAGTGTTCTCTGAGCTGGTTGGTTTAGTTGCGAAGCTTTCGTCGTCCTTCCGGACAACATCTTCAGCGCCATATTTAGCACAAAGTGAAATGATTTAAATTTCTTCATGCGTGATGTAATTGCGTCTCCTGGTTACTATCTTTACATGTGTATTGACCACTTTCTATTGACTTGGATTTTAAACTTTTTGGTCACCTGATTTACTTTTTATTAATTGGTATATTTCGTCTATATTAACGTGTTTGTTAATCGCATTTTCGCTTGAATACCAGGCTTCTAGGAATTCTCTGGCACTTTTCGTGTTTCCTCTGTTTAAGATTTTGACATTATCCCAATCAAATTGATGACCATAATTATCTGTATGCATTGATACTAAAGAATTTATATCATGTCTTTTCACGGCTGATTTATGTTCTTGGATTTTGATTCGAAGGGGACGCCCACTTTGGCCGATGTAATGCCTGTTACAGTTCATACATGCAATTTATTTTGTAAATGGTATTAATTTTATCCCCTTTTTCTGTTGGATCTTTTGGTTTGCATAATATCGAATTAAATGATTTTACTGGTTTGTGTGCTATATCTATATCTAACGGTTTCAATATTCTACCTGTTATTTCAGAGATATTTTTTACATATGATAGAATGAATTTTCTTGTGTTCTTTGATGATGGTTTCTTTTTGGTGTTGTGATTCGACTTTAAACACGTTTTGATGAAATTTTGTGGATAACCATTCTTTTTGAAGACCGTTTGTAGGTACTTTTCCTCCATTCTTTTCAACTTTGGAGTGCTACAATGTGTCTGAACTCTTTTCAACAATGTCTGTACACAGTTTCGTTTGTGAGTAATTGGATTATTGCTAGTATTGTTGAGTATTTGATCTGTGTGCGTTGATTTTCTATACACTTGTTTTTCTAAATCTCCTGTGTTGCTTCTCCTGATCTTCAGTGGGAACACCATCACTCACTGGGAAACGCAGGCACATCCAGATAATGAGTCCCAAATAGGATGAAATGCGCATCAAGCTGGATTCCACTGCTGGTCACCATCCACCAACTGACTTCAGACGGTTGTCTTAAAAATTATTCTTAAGCTGTTATAGATCCATGATGAAAACTAATATAAATATAATATATATAAAAATGTCACCCACGCATTTACAACCAACTCGCCACTTCCCATTCGGGTTCCACTCGACAGCCTGGAGTGTAATGTCACTTGATGGTTTGTTTTCACAGATTACGACCAATCCATCTGCATTTCTCCCTGCATATTTGTCGCACACTTGGTTCCTGCTCGGTTGGTTCGTTCATCGTGAGAAATCCCTCCCTGTTGCTCATCTTTTCTGGTCGGCCATCTGATCTTGAGTAGTATTGAGCGAAGACGGCTGTTGATGAAAGTCTGTAGTTTGTTTGAAGTGCTCTTCATGACGCGCTAAGCCTCTGATCCTTATACTGAGTAGCACTGACTTCACATTGGAATTAAACCTCCACATCTTATTTTTCATGCTGAGGAGTGCCGTTGATCTCTACAGAGAATTGAGAGAAATGAAGGCTTGTCTTGCTTTCCCATTCCTCGCTTTGACATTCCCATCAGTTCCTTCCCCCGTTAGTTGAGACGATGCTTCGCAAGTAGGTAGATAGGTAGGTAAATGAGGTTGCGTCTTTCAAATTACTCCCTTTAATACTGGCTGATTGCTTTTCTGTTGTTGTTGCTGTTGCTGTTGGCCAGGAATCTTCATCACCTCTGTTTTCTCTATGTTCACCTGAAGTCCTATATTTGATGCTCCTTCTGTCAAATTGTTGCTTTTCACTTACATATCTTCCAGTCTGTGGAAAATCAGACATATATCATCGGCGAAGTCCAGATCCTCAAAGTTTTTTGTGTGGGTCCATTTAATGCCTGTTTCCTCGTTGCCCGATCCGCTGTCTGTCGCATTATCCAGTCTACCGAAATCAGAAAAATCATTGGAGATAGTAGGCAGCCAGCCTTGTCTTACTCCCATCTTCACTTCGAAGGATTCCGTGAGTTTTCCAGTTGTGGATTACTTGGCATGCAGCATTGTCGTACAACTGTTGAGGGAGATGTATGGTTGTTTGCGGCACCCCTTGGTAGTAGCGAAGTAGTTTCCAAATCAGCACCTCTCGGCCAACGCTGTCTACTGAAGGCCTTTTCGAAGTCAATGAAGTTGAGTGAGGTAGAGAGCTGACTGCCATTCCAAGCTCTGTTCAATGATGATCCGTAGTGTCATTGATGATAAGTAACTAGCTAAAGTGCTATTGTAACAACAGAAGACAAGGGCCAGGCAACAGAACGTTTATTACGGAAAATCAACACATATTTATAGATTTCGATGTACATTATTGTAGGTTAATGTTAGTAGCAAATACAGTCTGTTGATTGGTTGTTTCTCACACAAAGTTAACCTCGCATCTCTTGTGGCTGTGTCAGTTCATCTACATGTTAACTGTATCCGCCTGTCCATCTCGACCTTGACCTCAATTACTGTCAACCAATTCGGCTAGTAGACAGCTCTCACCACACTATGAGGAGGTACTTAGCCTGTCATCTTCTCTGATGTGGTGTTGTGTGTGAATTTGTGTTGACTGATCTGCCAAGAGCTATGGGATCGTACACGACCTAATAATTGTGTGCTTGGACCCCAGCCTTATAATGCTTTCGTGGAGCTCTGGCTTATCGGTCTATGCATTCGACCTCCATCAAGTGGATCACGAGTTTGAACTCCAATCCATGCACCAACATCTAGACAGTCCTGACCAGTATTACTAGCGCTCACAAAATAGGTGGGACTCATTGCCACATCCATGGAATTGCAAGTGGTTATTGATTAACATTCAATTTATATTTTCGAAATGTTGTGAATGAAACTCAGTTTTGTTTTTGAATGAAAAAAAATTTCTTCTTTTCAAAAAAAATATTATAATTATCTATAGGGTTATTTATTTGGAGTTTCTGGTGAACGATTAACCAAACGTTTACGCTCGAATTTATTTGACTCTATGCTGAAACAGGTAATTACACTATTATTATTATTATTATTACTATTATTAACATTATTATTATTTTATACATATGTATTTATAACATTAAGTTTAGATTCGTCTACAGTCTTATCGATTTAAGGTATATTACTTATTATTATATTATTTTTTCCTTTAGTTCCTAGAGGAACATAGAGCTTCAGCCATGCGTCTCCATTGCGTTCGCTTCTCTGACGACGTTTTCACCTGGCTCCAAGTCTGCCCATACGCTTTCAATTCTTCTTCACATGATCTCCTCCAGGTCACCCTTGGACGACCAACTCGTCGCTTCCCTTTCGGGTTCCACTCGAGGGCTTGTCTAGTGATGTCACTTGCTGGTTTCCTCAGAGTGTGGCCAATCCATCTCCATTTCTTCCTGCCTATTTGTTTCGCAATCGGTTCCTACTGGGTTGGTTCGCTCATTGCCGGAGATCTTTGTTGCTGATCCTTTCCGGCCATCTGATCTTGAGTATTGAGCGAAGACATCTGTTAATGAAGGTCTGTAGCTTGTTTGAGGTGCTCTTTGTGACACGCCAAGTCTCTGATCCGTATAGTGAGTAGTACTGACTTCACATTGGAGTTGAAAATCCGGATGTTATTTTTGACGCTGAATGCTGTTGACCTCCACACAGACTTGAGAGTAGTGAAAGCTTGTCTTGCTTTCCCGATCCTTGCTTTGATATCCTCGTCAGTTCCGCCTGTAGTTGAAACGATGCTTCCCAGGTGGGTAGGTAAAAGAGGTAGTTTCTTTCAGGTTCCTTCCATTTATGCTGATTGCTGTCTGTTGTTGTTGCTGTGGCTGTTGGTGTTGGCCAGGAATCTTCATCACCTCTGTTTTCTCTATGTTCACCTGAAGTCCTATCTTTGATTCTTCTCGTGCCAACTTGTTACTTTTCACTTGCATATCTTCCAGTTTGTGGGAAATCAGACATATATCATCGGCGAAGTCCAGATCCTCCAAGTTCTTTGTGTGAGTCCATTTTATGCCTGTTTCCTCATTGCCCGCTGTGTTGCATTATCCAATCTACTGCAATCAGGAAAATCATTGGCGATAGTAGGTATAAAGATGACATTATTCTCCCAGTCGAAGACGTTGACAAAATTGAGAGTCTTCTCAACACCTTGGGGAGAATCCTACAAATATCTGACGTGAGATCCGCTCGCGTAAAGTGGGAGAGGATTTTGCACGATTAGTTTACACCGACTCCTAGCTTAAAGAGAGGAAGTGAAGAGGTGGAGCATGTTGAGCACTTCACTTATTTAGGAAGTTACATCACCCACAATGAACTAGTTGCTGAAGAAATCTCAGCACGGATACAGAAAGCACGTATGGTATTCTCTAAATTGTCACCGCTGACGTAGAAATGATATCCAGCAGCAATTCTCTCTGTACTCATTTAGGATTGTAAGACATGGACATTGAGTATGAAAGATATAAAAAGACTATCTGTATTTTATAACGATAGAAGACAAGGGCAAGGCAGCAGATCGTTTATTGAGAAAATCAACAGATATTTGTAGAATTTTATGTACATTATTGTCAGTGGAGAAGCAACGTCTTCTGATTAGTTGTTTTCTTGCTGACCATTTCTCAGAAAGTTAAGTCATATATTTGCGAATAATATTTCCACACGTTAACCCCCCTGTGATTGTCTGGTGGCTTTCTCCAGGTTAATAATGCTTTGTTATTGTTTTTTTTCTCATGACCCCGATTCGGAGTGTGAACATTGACGTAAATTGTTGTCTACAATGTTTGGCTTGGTCGCAGCCAGCTCTCACCACAATTTGACTACAGATGTTTGAGTCCTACCTCCCGTATTAAGTGACATAGGATAGTGATTAATATTGTGGTTAGACGGAGAGTGTTAGGCATGGAGAGTAAGTCAATGGATGGTTTTGTTAAGCTACAACGGTTGGGGTTTCAAGGACACGTAGTGTGTATGCTGTGCTCATTATAGTTCTTTTGAATGTCGCTTCTGTCTGTTTTCTCGACCTTTGTCTTTTTTAATGAGACATGCTTACCTGGACTTCTGCTTTTCTGTTCTACTCTGAAACTCGGTCAGTCAGTTAGATTCTTCTAAGGTCAGGAGTAGAGTAGTTCTCTTGGAATCCTTTATGAAGGATCCATATGATCCATATGCAAAGTGAGGAATCAAACACACGAAGATGGCAGTTAATTAAATAGTGATCCACTACAACCTCAAGTGGTCTTATCCTCATATCAGTGCTGCACAGCAGTAAAATAAGTACCATTGATTGCATTAAAGTTATCAGGACATCGTTTTCAAAGGGAATGTATTACATCTTACCACTTTGAATCTTGTACAAGAAATTTAGTCTTCTTCTTTCTGTATTCATCCTGATTCACGTAATTACACTGATAAGTGTAACATCGTTAATGTTGAAAACAGGCACTACGTTACTGACACTTTTCATAAACCATTGTAGTCTACCATTACTCCTATATTCATTCCATAGCCCATTTAATTTCCAGTTAGTAATCATTACTATAAGGATTGTATAAAAGCGGTATATTAAGCAGTGGAGGTGTGGACTGCCCGTTTGAACCTGATGGGCCGTGCCAGTGGCTAAGTCGGCAACGAGCTCGCCTCATAACCTGAAGGTCCTGGTTTTCGTCCTTTGGTGGGGTCATGCGTGAGTAATGGCAGAGAGTTCTCGAATTGCGAAGAAACAGCTATCAAGTACTCCCCGCTAGTGAACTGTTGACAGTAGATGCTTGGAAGCAATCGGTAACAAGCCCAGCTGGACCTAGGTTTCGTGCTAGTGACCACTCACCAGTCAGTAAGGCGTGTCTGCGATCTCGAAGGAACTCATGTCCCTTCTGAGATTTGAACCCACGGCACCCAGTGCCGCGTGCAGTCAGAAACGTTACCACTGAGTTCTTTGGGTTGACGACTGACCTCCTGTAGGACTGTACTGAATACTTCCAGTTTGTAATTAGTGAAGTGTGTCTGATCATTTGTTTGGTGCAGACTGAATTCTATCAGTCAAGTTTGCAATGTGACCATCACCATACTAGGTGGCTCGCTATCATACTGGATGGTTTGAGGCAATCTCAACAATTCAAAGTGCACCATGATGGCGAGTCACTGGTTCTTTAACTGATATCAATCCGTAATCAAGCTCAAATAGAACTGAACAACACCATAATCAGTAGAATTCATTTTTTGGTATTGATTTTACTCAGCTCGAGTAATATAACTGAAGTAATTCACTAGTTAACTCACTTTGGTAATCCGAGATCCTTCAGTAAGTAAATATTGAGATCAACAGAACTCATAATCAATTTTTCAACCTGTCTATCTACCGAATCTTGACTTTCTTCTCCCACCTCTTCTTCTTCTTTACTGGAAAAAAATATGAATCAAGGAAATTGGTTGGTTCGACAAAGCAGAAAATCAAGCCGGTGCATTGACTGCATTTCTATCAACGGATGCTTCAAAAGTTGCTCAAATCAGTGGATCCAGACTAAGTACAGCATTGGAAGCTTCTGTTTTAATCTTTGCCTGTCTTATCATTGGATTTATTTATAGTTGGCAGTTAACATTAATTATGGTACCATTTATACCAGTGCTATTATTATCTTCTCGTGTACAGGTAAGTAATTCAGAGTTAACTCCCTGTTTGTATCTATATGATCTTTTAGTATATATATATATATATATATATATATATATATGCGTTGAAGTTTCTCTAGCAGTTTGATATCTTTATTGGTATAGAGTCGCTGGCCCTAGGCCCAACCTTTACTCTTATCTCGAGCTTGAGACCGGTTAGGAAACTAGCTAGCTTGTTAACTAGACGAGGTACACAGAGAGAAGACAGAGATGATGAAATTAACTAACCAACAACAATAACAACAACCCGCACAAATCACCATCAGCGAGAGAGATTTAACATAGGTTACCTCCTTCACTTATCCTAGATGAGTGAAGGAGGAGGAGGAAGGAAGGAGGAGGAGGAAGGAAGGAGGAAGTGGCATAATAAGGTGAGCGATATTGAGGTTAGGCGTCGAGTGCTGGGTAAGGAGGAGGGGAAATCAATAGACGAGGCTGTGAAACTACATCGACTGAGGTGGTTAGGACATGTGTTACGTATGCCTCTCAGTCATCACCTTCCTCGACGGGCAATGTTAGCTGATATAGGGTCAGGCTGGAAAAGAGCTAGTGGTGGACAAACCAAAACATGGCTTCGTCAGTCAATGAAATCTACAACAGTTAGTCTAGGCCACGTAGCAAGGTGTAGACTTCCTGACTGGTTGGGGTCCTCGGGACGGTAAAAGCCAATGGTTGGAAACAATTGGTGAAATGGCTCAAAATCCTTCTCAATAACTGCGCAGATGCATCCACTCCTTGTGACTTATGATTTCTAATCAAACCGTTTTGTTCTTCGTTATTACTATTCCTTTGTGTCACACCTCTGTTCACTGTCTCTAATATGCATTTCTCCTACTTTCTTCTCTTGCTTTGTGTGCCACAAGGGGGAGTGTGGCGACTTGAACTGCCGCACATATCTGCAAAGTTCTATGTTGAAAATAGACAGACTTATCTAGGAAGCATCATTTCAACTACAGGCACACGGAAGGGATGAAAATGTCAAAATCAGAATCGGAAAGGCGAGATGCGCCTTCATCAACCTGAAACCAGTTTTGAAATCTTCTGCACTCAATCAGCCAGCATAAAGAACAACATTTGGATTTTCAATACAAATGTTAAATCAGTCACTTCTTCTATATGGGTCAGAAACGTGACGCGTGAGTCATGAAAGCATTTCCAACAAGTTACTGACTTTTATCAACAGCCGCCCCCTTCTCTGGTTGGTTCCATACTGAAGACAAAATGGCCAGCTGGCCAGAAAGAATAAGTAACAAGAAACTGTGGCTGGAAACAAACCAACCAAGAGCCAATCGCTCAACAAATACGTAGCAGAAAGTGAAGATGGATCCGGGATACATACAGGAGACCATCGAATGATATCGCAAGCAATGCAGGCCATCGCATGAGTGGAACCCGAATAGGAAGTGACGAGTGGGTCGTTGGTGAGAGGCTGACATGGAGGGGATTGTGTGACGAGGAGGAGGAGATGAGAGATTATGGGCAATCGAGGAGCTAGCCAGCTGAAGAGGACAGTAGAAGGTAGGATGAAGTGGTGATGTGTTGTTGAAGCCCCTCCTCCCTATGTTCCACTCGGAACCCAAGGGAATAATAATATGATTTCATTTAACAGTAATGTTTACAACAGCATACCAGTATATGCTGCTAATTGACTAATTGATATGAGTGGTTGTGCGTCGGTGGCACAGCGATCGGGACGCTCGCCGACTATGCATATGGTCCGGGGTTCGATCCCCGGCCGACGCACACCTGATATCAATATTTGGCCTGCTTAATTCGGGAAACCGATATCACATGCTGAAAATTTCATACTTGTATCAAAAATACTGTATGGAGTCAAGCTATAATAAATTAAAATAAAAATAAAACTACTAACATCTAACACTAGTGCTTTATAGTCAAATCGAAATGATCCGAAACTCGGACGGCTGTTTCATAATGCATGTAAGCTGATAAAATCATTGCACATGAATTTGTGAATGCAGCATGCTGTAAGGTTGCAAACTGGTAGGATGGAACAAAGGTTATGGTCAGTGGGGGTCGACCAAGTTGGACATTGTGAGGGCAGATACTCACCGATTACATGGGCTGGCGGTCTTGCTATATATCATGGACTGGCAGAATTTAGAAGTGACGGGTCATTGGATTCCGTCTCAGTAACTGAATGGTCAATAGGTTTGCCCTGTAGTCTGAAGGTTCTACATTTCATGTACCTGGCTAAGAGTCATACCCATTGTAGGAGGTTTGATGGATGACACAACACAGCTGCTCAGGCTGATATAGATGCAGCGAGGCTCGAAACTGTGTCCCGATGGCTAAATATTGAGTAATTATATATACATATGTATATCTATATATGATGTTACAGCTACGTAAATGAAAACACCGAAGAGATTCTCATCGTTGACGTATTTATTCTTAAATCTCATTCTGCTTCCAATGATTTATTTTCGAACTGGATTAATTGTGCACCTATAATTAATTCCCTCAGTAAGTGAACGACTCCATTGAAAAGGGAAGATTTCCAGTTTCTTCAAGTGTTATAGATCGTTCGATCTGTAGGCTTATCTTTTCGCCGCCGATTGAACTGTGGGTGAAGCATAGAGCCTTAGAAGAACATCACTATTTCATTATGTTCTACTCAGTCCTTTTAAGCCGGCTCCACAGCTTCTATACGCTTTCAACTCATCCATACACGAAATATGTCATCCTCAAACCCATGCCTAACTCATTTTTTCCCATTCAGCTTCTACTTTTGGGCCTGCCTTTCGCGTAATATCATTCAACGGTCTCCTCAGACTGTCTTTCTGTTTTCAATATAGAACTTTGCATCGATATGCAGCAGTTAAAGTTGCCACATTCTATGTAGCACACAAAGCAAGAGAAGAAAGTAGGAGAAATGCATATTAGAGAGAGACAGTAAACAGAGGTGTGAGACAAAGGAATAGTAATAACGAAGAACAAAACAGTTTCATTGGAAATCACAAGTCACAAGGAGTGGATGCATCTGCACCAGCCATTGAGAACGAGGATTTTGAGCCATATCACCGATTGTCTCCAGCCGCCATTGAGGTTTACCGTCCCGAGGACCCAAACCAAGAAGTCTACACCTTCCTACGTCGTCAGACTGTGTCCAACTCACCTCCATTTCTCTCGTTATATTTGTCGGTCACCAATACTAAATGGAATACATAAAAATATACCATTTGGCTGATCTACACTTCATCTTTTTGTGATATAGTTGTGTTCTCTGAGCTAGATAGTTTACCTGCAAAGCTTTTACTGTCTTTCTAGGCAACATCTTTGGCTTATACTTCAATTTGAAGTAAAGTTTTAAATTTCTCCAATTCAGAGAACACAACTACATCGAAATCATGCACTTGAGCTACAAATCTTCTCCAGTATATCTACAGTACATCTTCTTCAGTTCCTTGCGTTCCGGATGGGAAATTCGGTTTTTTCAAGTTGTTGTTTTCAAAGAATTGGGTCAGTAGATTCAAGCGTCATTTTCCTTTTGTGTGCTTCCTAGGGGCTGATTAAACCTGTAGAAGTTCTTTTAAACAAGTCGTCGGTAATCCGATGTTCAGCTGATTTTCGTCTATGTACTGGCAAATGTGACAGACAGTTTCCTTGAGTGGAACGTTGGTAAATAGTGACTCAATGTTGAGGAAGAGCATATTTTTGTTCCCTACATTGATATAGTGGCACATTCGTTTTCGTACAGGTTCTAAAATTTCAGCTAGCCATTTCACTATTGGATGGTACGGGGAACCTGACATATCGAGAATTGGACGAAGTGGGAGGTTGGCTTTATGTATCTTTGGTAAGCCGTACAGTCTTGGTATTATTGATCCTGTAGAAGTTGAAGAATGCATCGGGTAGGAATTGAATCCAAGCTTCTCGCTTGAGTGACCAGCATTCTGCCAATGAATCACTGACACACCATTAAAAACATCGTAATACGTATTATTTATTACACCAAAATTTTCACCAATCAGGAGGTTATTTTAGTTAGTCAGTTTTAGCCATAGGAGGCGGTGAAATTAAGACGTTAAAGGTCATCAAAACAATTAACTAATAGGTGTTAGTAACAAGACATCCAAGTTTTAAATGAGGGGTGAAAATTGATTACAGAATTCAAGATAGATTGATTCTTAGGCGCTGTAGGCAACAAGTTGTTACATAATCAAGGAATCTGAAAATAATGATCTTCTAAGTAGGAACGGATATCCGACCAAGCTGTTGAACAGACACATGAACTCAGAAAGTAAAAAGTCGAAGGTACCGACTGTTCCCAATAAATTAATCTTCCTAAGATTACAATTCACGGGTGATGTCAATAGAGAGGTCTTATCACAATGTCTAAGAAGGGCCTTCAAAAGGACTTTCAACGCAGATAAGCTATTCTGTATATTCACTAGCAAATCAATACTTAGTTCAAGAGATACAGATGGACTGCCCTGTTTCACCTGTTCCATGTCCATTTACCAGTTTAACTGCCCGTGAGGCGCTAGTTACTTACATCGGGCGTACGATCAGGAAAGTTCGTCGTTGAATCTCTGAACATCTTCCATCTTGGTTTGGCAAAGTTCCGAACAAAACTGCTATACACAGTTCAATACTAGCTCATCTCGTCGTAATCAGACATCAAATCGACTCTAACGAAGCTTTTAAAGTTATTTATCGTATATCACCCAACTTCCCGCATGGTCTACAAGTACGACTTTTACACGCAGCAGAGGCAATCGGAATTCTTCTGAACAAGCCAACTCTGTGTGTGTTCAAAAGAAATTTGTACAGCCCTTTTCTTTGCCATGGAAGAGGATTTCATTCACATAAAGAAAAGTTGACATCTGAAGCCTTGCACATTTTAACCACATTGAATACAGTAAATAGGAAAGAATGGATAGACTTATCACCTATATGGCAAACTCTAATGAAGCAAGACAGATAAAAAACAACAAAAACTCTACGAACCTCCATGATCTTTAATAAATGTATCATCATATTTTCTATAGTTTGGTTTGTAAGGATTAGTTTTGGTTTTATGAGTTGATCGCGGACTGATATCAGTTAGAGAACCATTGAAAACCACCAGGGAGTACTGCCAGACAGCTGTTTCATCCTAGTTCGGGAATCATCGGCAGTACGCACCCACTACAGGTCGTTTGAACACACGACCTTCTGGTTACAAGGCAAGCTCATATACCATTCAGCCACTGGGACCCGATTCAGTGGCCAACCCATGAATTTTAACTTCTACCGATTCGTGATTTATCACATGTGAATTGACGTCTTTTCCATATGATAAATAACATACACCCACACACACTCATACAAAACTAATCCTTACAAACCAACTATAGAAATATATACACAATAACAATTTGACATAGTCATTGCAAATATATGTGATGACTGCTTACATATTTCTATTGGTACAAATGTCTATCGACAGGTGACCTTCAAATAAACTGCCTTCAATTTATGTAAAATATTTTGACTATATATTTTGATGATTAGTAAAATCCGAATAAATCTGCTGAAGAAGCTGTGGCTTACACCAGGAAACGCTCAGAGAAATCTTAAACACTCTAGGATTAATTTAAATAATTTTTGAAGAATCACTCTGACTCGGCGCTCAAATTATTCCGGGAAGTTCGTAACACCTACGGTCTGGAAACTTAGAGCTACATAATATGTTTTAAGTTTTAAAAAACGATTTTTCCCTTCCCCTTGTAACACTTTCTTTTGACTTTGTCGAATTTTTACAATTCTAGCTAATACTATTATCTCGTTTGTATATTACGTAATTCTTCTAAGTCATCCTATTCTTCTTAGTCATGATTGCTATTTTACAAATTTCTTGATTATGTAATAGTCTGTCTGTTTTCGACATAGAACTTTGCACATATGTGCGGCAGTTCAAGTCGCCACACTCCCTCCATGTAGCACACAAAGCAAGAGAAGAAAGTAGGAGAAATGCGTAATAGAGACAGTGAACAGAAGTGTGAGACAAAGGTATAGTAATAACGAAGAACAAAACAGTTTCATTGGAAATCATAAGTCACAAGGAGTGGATGCATCTGCGCCAGCCCTTGAGAACGATTTTGAGCCAACCATATCATCAACTGTCTCCAGCCATTGGTGTTTACCGTCCCGAGGACCCCAACCAGGAAGTCTACACCTTCCTACGTGACTGGCTTAGACTAACTTTTGTAGATTTCATTGACCGGTGCCATGTTTTCGTTTGACCGCCGCTAGCTCTTTTCCAGTCTGACCCTATATCAGCTAACATTGCCTGTTGTCGAGGAAGGCGATGACTAGGCATACGTAACACATGTCCTAACCATCTCAGTTGATGTAATTTCACAGTTTCGTCTATTGATTACCCCTCCTTACCTAGCACTCAACGCCTAACCTCAATATTGCACACCTTATCATTCCACTTCACACGGGAGATAGAATGCAGGCACCTATGATCAAAGACAGCTAACTGGGCTTTTCATGTCTTCCACTCTCAAAGGCCAGGTCTCATAGCCATAAAGGAGGACTTATTGGACTGCTGAGCAGTACACACGCCCTTTGGTCGATAGTCGGTTATCACGTCTACGCCAGAGACGGCGTAAACTGGCCTAAGAATCAACTTATCTTGAATTCCGTAATTAATTTTCACTTCCCATTTAAAACTTGGATATCTTGTTACTAACATCTATTAGTTAATTGTTTTGATGACCTTTAACGTCTTAATTTCACCGCCTCCTATGCCTAAAACTGATTAGCTAAAATAGCCGCTTGATTGGCAAGACATTTTTATGTAAAAAACTAAATATTAGTGTACAGCCAGTCGATGATGAGGAACTAATTGAAGTGAAGGAATGTATATTTCTTCACTCAATCTGTTTTGTTTTTCCAATATAATTAATGATTCAAAGTTGCTTGTACGATACATTAAGAGTCGTAATTTTTTATTTCAGCGTACACTTTAAGTACTTTTACTGTTCTCTGTCTGTTTAACATTGTTTAGATGAGAACTGCTCGTTCAAAGACAAATGATACAAAAATGACTAAAGCATTATGCATTGCTAAAGAATCGATTAGTGCAAATCGAACAGTAACAAGTCTATCCTTAGAAGACTACTTCTTTGAACGTTTTGATTCAGCTTGTGAAGAAGATTTTAAGTAAGTAATTTTATGAATTGTGGTATTTTTCTGTATTGATTGCTTTTTTATCAATCAATTTTTCAAAAGACTGAGTTTAGCAAAATACAGAAAATAGCTATCCCGACGAATTTATCAAGAAATACATGACAATACATGCTTTGTCCTAGTTTGTGACTCTTCATCAGTATGCACCCACCCTACTGACGTTCGAACCCAGGACCTTTTGGTTACAAGGCAAGCTCGTATACCATTAAGCCACTAGGACCCGATCCATTGGCCCATGAATTCTAACTTCTGCCAATTCACGATATAGCGCGACCCATAGCCAATTTCTTCGGCGAGTATTTGTCCCCACACTCGACCTGCTGCACCCTACTGGTCACGACTTCTCACTAGAACCCCAGGTAACTACCTACCTGAATAGGGCAAGTGGCTAGTGAGCATCTCATTGATATTCAAGTGTTGGTTAGGGGTCGCGCTATGTCGTGAATTGGCAGAAGTTAGAATTCATGGGCCATTGGATCGGGTCCCAGTGGCTTAATGGTATACGAGCTCGCCTTGTTACCAGAATGTCCTGGATTCGAACGTCAGTAGGGTGGGTGCGTACTGTGAAGAGTCCCAAAATGGGGCGAAACAGCTGTCCAGTTCTCCCACGTTTTCCAATGGTTCTCTAAATGATGTCACCTCATGATGAAAATCCTGTAACAAGTCGTGTATTCTACACAACCGATGATGATTCCCCGATTGAAAGATGAAGTACCTAGACTAGGGCCATTTCTTCTAATTGTATCTACCATTTCAACTGAGCTTGTGGCGGAGCGAGTTATATCGGCCGTTGTTTTAGGAACTTGATGCTTCGTGCTCAAGAACATCTCCCAGTATGGTTAAGTAAAGGTGTAATAAAAACCATCATCAGCTTTTGGATATTAGACCACCTAGCCCAAAACGGCAATAAAGCCAGCATTGAAGAATCTTTCTCTATCATCTACTGGGTACCAAATAAATAAATCTACCGCATGCTCCAAACGTCAGAGGCTATCGCAATTCGACTGGAACAGCGGCTCTATGTGCAGAAGAAGCAAGTCCAGTCGGCCACTACTACTGCCCTGGCCGGCCTTCAGTGGAGACTAGAAATTCATGAATTTGTATTATTATTTCTCCTAATTTCTCTGTCTGATGTGCAGTACGTAGTGTTATTTAGATGCTATCGAATTGTATTCCATCGATATTTTTATTACTATTGAATCGATGTTATTTAAACAATGTTGATGTTGAAAACATTTATTTCCCGATGCGAATTTAAAACAAGCAAAAAATGTGGTTAATAAAGCAGGATTTAATGATGGATTCATCAAATTTCGGTAGAACTCTTCCTCAGCTGAGCACTCTACATACGGGGATATATATACTATTGAAATTACATTAGGAGATATAAGACTGATAAGCAAATAAACTACATTGAATTAGTCATGAATTAGTCTTCATGAACAGGACAGTACATGCATTTCAAGAGTTTTGGTCCAATCCTGTATAAAAAGGACTTAGTCAGAACACTATTCAATCGACAGTACAAGTGAGCATGAAATAAAAGCTCTGAAGTATATTTTATCTAAGAACGGAGATCCTGAGAAGTTCATTGATAAATACTCTAAAGAAAACAGCCCCTGCAAAACAATCCAAACAGTTGCGAAGAAACCTGTCTATATCAGTTTGCCGTTCAAAGGACATGATGTACAGGAAGTAGTCAAACGAAGACTCGATAAAGCCACCAAGAGAAATTCCTATGCTGTAAAACTTGTTTTCCTTAACACCACTAAGCGTGTGCTTCAACAATCTGGGAAAGACCAGTACTCGCCAATCCTCAACACTTCAAACTGAGTATATATCAATTTGAGTGTGTTTGTGGAAGCAAATACATTGATCGTACAGAAAGGCGATTGTCTGTCTACTCGCATGATGGAGCATTTGCCAAAATGGTTGAAAACAGCCAAAAACCTCAATCACAAAACATGTTGTGGACTATGGACATGATATCGACGCTGTCAAGTCATTCACTGTTGTCAGCAGACAAAGAGACAGGAGGATGCTTGCAATTGCAGAGGAGGCTTGTGCAATTCGAGTTTATAAACCAGGTCTCTGTGTACAAAAGGAGATGGTCGTGACTCTGAATCTACCATGGTAATACGTTTTACTTACAATTCTACCTCTTATTATTATTATTATTCTTGATGCATTTAAAACTATCCTTTATCAGTAGCATTATCTTAACTCACTTCAACACTATTATTATTGTTATTATAACTATTTCTATTGGCATTCTTCTGTTTGCAATTCTTTTTATATTCTATAATGACTAATTGTATATCTAAGTGATGTAATTGAAGCGTAATCTTAATTTTGATCTCCTATACTCTCTCTGCCCTTATCTAATTGAAAATGACCTGGAAAAACATTCGCACCTGTCTTTCTGCATGACTAATTCAATGTAATTTGTTTACTTATCAGTCCTATATCTCCCAGTGTAATTTCAAAAGTATATATGTCCGTTTATGTGGAGTGCTCAGCTGCGAAAAGTTCTATCGAAATTTGATGAATCCATCATTAAATCCTGCTTTATTAACCACATTTGTTGCTTGTTTTAAACATTAATGTTGTTAATAACACTAATTCATTCATTCACTATTATGGATGCATACAACTGTTGAACCTGATGAAGAAGAGGTTATCGAAGAGAATATTCTTTGTTCAGTAACTATTCTTTTGGAAAATTCAGGATACTCCTCTTTTCGATAACTTCTTCAGCAGATCCTACAGTTTATATGTCTATAAATAATTAAAGAACTATTTTTATGAACAGAATTCTTACGTTGTTTTAATATCATTGAATCAATAATGTGGGCAGAATGCATTTCAAAGGCATCAGTAAGGGAGAGAGAAAGAGGTAATGTACATTGATATAAAACTAAAATAAATTGGCAAAATTTAGAATTCATTGGCTGGCTACTGGATCAGGTCCCAGTGGCTTAATGGTGTCTACAAGCTCGCTAGCCTTGTAACCAGGAGGTCGTGGGTTCGAACCCCAACCGGTGAGGGTGTGTACTGATGAAGAGCCAGTCCTAAACTAGTGGGACGAAACAGCCGCCTGGCAGTACTCCCAGCTGGTTTTCCACTGGTTCTGTAATTGATGTCAGCTCATGATGAAATCTTCTAATATCAGTTCAACAGTAAGCAGGCCAGAGGAGCAATGTTGTTTGAACCTATCTTTTGCATGCAAAGGTCCAATTGCATTGGCCTCCCCTGTTTAAAGTGTTCCATATATTGTAGCATTTGGCGATTTATTTGATTCTCGATATGCGATAGTAAAAGATTCTTCAATGTTTGCTTTGTGATCATTTTGTACCCGGTGAAGATCTAATATCGAAATTTGAATGATTTTCCGGACAAATTTATTTAGCCACACTGTTAGATCTTCCCTTGCACAGAAAACGAAGTTCCTAGAACGACAAACGAGTGTACAATTCAATATAAAGTTTTGCTAAGGTCATTAAGTACACACATAAGTCAATAAAGAGATTTATTTTCGTCACTTCATTTGAAGGCTATACAGCTGCTATTCAGGGGGCGGGGGTCGTGCTTACCCTGCCAATGAGTTTCACTAAGCCTCTCAAGACGTCTGCACCAACTTCTGGCTTCACACTCCTAGGTCCTATCTCAGACATCCATCGTCCCATTTACTCATTGAATGTCAGTTGACTTCCAGAGATGATAAACCCATCCTCATGCTGGCATTAAGGTGCTTTGGTATCTTGTCAAATTTTTCCGTATAAGCAACCACAGCACTAAGGTTGCAATAGTGTTTAACACAGAAGTAGTCTTAGCCGGCAACAAGCACAATGGCCATCCTCGAGTTGTCGTCTCAGACGCCGTTTCCACTCAGTACCTGCCCACCAAAAATTCATCAGTGTTCAGACTCGACGTCCCCTAGATGACGCTACCCATGTTTCCCTACCACAAGTTAATGCAAAACTCTCCCATCTCGAACAACACGTTGTTCTCAAGCGTGCCACAGCTTTTCACTCTGTGATGTGGGTGAGACCACAAATGCTCCGGATCTTCCAGTAAACAACAGAAGACAACACTGACACCTGTCAGTCAGGTACAGAAAATTGACGGTGTGTTTCCAGGTTGGCCTCAAATAATACGTTTTTTCCAATGGGAGAGGTGATATGTAAACAAATAAACATTGGATTATCCTTTATTGTTGACATGGTGATCTAGGTCACTCTGGAAATAAACCAATCAGGACTGGCCTACGTAAAATAACTTAACAATATTTTTTCTGATCATTATTACTAACTGACTGATAAATCCTTGATGATTTCTTGATCCATACATTATTGTATAAAATATACTGTGGCTGATACTGAAATATACTTTTCCGACCCATGTCGTTGTGTGTTCTCGCTTAAGGAGAGCGATCTGAGGAACAGGCGGCTATCGTATAATCTTATTGGCGTAGTCAGGCGGTTCTCATTATCAGCTCCCATCTGTGTCCAATTCGGCGTTCATATTACAATCTCAGTGATATTGCCAAATATCATTTCGGCAACATAATAACAGTTTACTGGTGTAACGACAGAAAACAAGACACGGAAGCCGCGGTATATTTCCAACTGTTCAAACTGCTACATATACCTTTATATATGACCTTGAATGGATCTCCCACTTTGGAAGCAGTTTGAGTGCCACTGGAGCGTATTCGTCTGTGTTTCGCCTCACACTATCACATGCTGCCTTCACACGACCTCTTAGCAGGGATCCAAGTAACAGCCTCTTCACTGACTGATCTTGAATGCCATTCAACTCCGCAACAGCCTCGAAGCCCTGCAAGAGGATCCGTGTATATCTCCTTCTTCAAAAACTGCAGGGCATAGGCTGTTCATTTGTGGGCAGGCAGCGACATTTAAATGTAACGGTAGGAGGCAAGACACGGAAGCCAAGATATAGCATTCGGTTGCTAATGCACTATTGAATTGTGGGAATAGTATTCAGACGTTAACACCAAAAAATACAATGATTCTTGCTGTGAGAATAATATTCCGTTGGAACGCATTGTTTATATCACACTACCACACTAGAGTTTTGACTGCATGATAATGCAGAAGAAATCCTTCTGAACGGTTTGATCTTACTTTATATGTATATATGAATCAAATGTCTTCTTTCCTGAATATTGCTTTCCCTTCATTCTAGGCCGAATGAATGATTACCATTGCCATACATGCAGTAGTCTATCAGTTCTGTATTCCACTTATTCCTTGTTATTGCCCACTAATATTGTTGTTGTTGCTATTGTTGCTGTTATTGTTATTCTGCTTTTTGACAGATCCCAGATCATAGATTCGATTGGTGTAGCTATTGTTCAAGCGTTGGCTTTATGCGGTCCAGTACTTAGTTTATGTGCATGTTTTGCACTGGGAATTTATTTAATGCAACAAAATGCAATTAATGTCGTATCATTGTTCAAGTGAGTCTCTTTTTTAATGCAATGAATTTAAGACTATATATATATATACAAAGAAGGGCGACTTAGGCCTGTGCAAGAACCGGCGTGGAATAATGCTTTTGTCCATGCCAAGTAAAATACTAAGCCGCATCATCCTCATCCACAAAGGAAAACTCAGCGAGGCGTTCGTAGTGCATACAGGAGTAAGACAAGCTGGCTGCCTGTCTATTATCACCGATGATATTCTTAAATGTGGTGGACTGAATTATGCGTCAAACTGTTCACAGGGGGCGAAGAGACAGAAATACGCTAGACCACTGATGAAAAGACTCCATCTAGAAGATCCAGATTTTGTAGATGATATAGGTCTAGTGTCACACAAACTCGAAGACTTAGAGGCAGGCGAAAACCAAGAAGATCCGCTGAAGATGCAGCGGAGACTTGACTGCAGGTGAACTTAGAGAATACCGAGGTGATGAAGATAACCAACCACTATCAAGAGCAACAACAATCAGAACCAATCATCATCAAAGCGAGAGATTTAACAGAGGTTACCCCCTTCACTCATCTAGGAAGCATCGTTTCAACTAGAGGCAGTTGGAACGGTGGAAGATGTAAAAGCCTGCCAGGATCGGAGATACAAGATACACCTTCATCAACCTGAAACCAGTTTGCGAATCTTATACACTGCACTCAGCATAAGGAACAAGATTCAGGTTTCCAGAAACTTGCTCTGCGTGTCACGAAAAGCATTTCCAACAGCCAGCTGCAGACTTTTATCAGTAGCTGCCCCCTTCACTGGTTCCATACTGAAGGCTGAATGGCCAGCCCGCTAGAAAGAACAAGTAACAAGAAACTGTGGGAAAAAAACAAACCAAGAGCCGATCGCTCAACAAATATGTAGGAGAAAATCGAGATGGATCGGGCCGGGCATACGCTGAGAAGGCCATCTGATGAAATCGCGCGTAGTGCAGGTCATCGCTCTAGTGATATCCCGATGGGAGACGACGAGTGGGTCGTCGGTGAGAGGGTGACATGGAGGGAATCCTGTGACGAGGAGGAGGAGATGAAAGATTATGGTCAATCGTGGAGCTAGACAGCTGAAGAGGACAGCAGAAAACAGAACGAAGTGTAGATGTGTTGTTGAAGCCCTATGTTCCACTCGGAAGGCAAGGGAATAATAATGATATATATATGTATATATATACGATAATTTCAGCACACAGAATCCATTCAGAACTGAAATCAGTCAAAAGAATCATTAGAAACTCCAGCGGAGATTCGCAGACAACATACTATTAGCACTATTATTATTATTATTGAAAGACAGTCTTTTGAGTAGATTCTCTTCAAGTTATTACAACTATCGTTAGAATAATAATCAGTTATACGACGGATACATTTTATGCAGAATAACAGAATAGTTGTAGCGTGACATAATATAATTTATATTTATGCGACGAATGTGCTGGTCTGAATGTAATTATATAATATTGTGAAATGTGAAACGATGATAGTAATTAGTCGTCCTAGTTTGAGACTCTTCACCGGTACGCATACACTGAGGTTAGAACCCAGGACCTTCCGGTTACAAGGCTAGCGAGCTCACAGATTATTAAGCCACTGCGACACAATCCGGTGGTCAACCCATGAATTCCAACCTCTGACAGTTCATGATATTTTCAAGTGTTGGTTTTGTAGAGGAATTTTTTGTTTGCTCTATTCAAGCAGTTAACCTGGGGTTGTAGTGGGAAGCTGTGGCCAGTAGGTAAGTTCGGCGGGCTGAAGGTGAGGCAGTAACTCTTCGAAGAAGACATTGGGAAGTGGTCGTACTATGTCTTGAATTGGAGGAAGTTAGAATTCATGGACTGGTTGGCCAACTGGATAGAGTGGGTTGCAGTGGCTTAATGGTCTAGGAGCTCACTAGCCTTGTAACCAAAAGTCCTGGGTCCGAACTCTGGCAGTGAAAGCGCACTGTGAAGAGTCCCAAACCAGGCTAACGAAAGAGCCGTCTGGTTTTCCAATAGTTCTCTAACCGATGTCAGCTCATGATTAAATCCTCCAACCGATTCACTATATGGCGCGACCTCTAGCGAATGTCATCGCTGGCGAGTATTTATCCTCACACCCAACCTGCTGTTCCCCACTGGTCACGAATTCCACCTAGAATTCAGGTAGCTACCTACCTGAATGGGACTATTCACTAGTGAGCATCCAATTGATACTCAAGTGAAACCAATCAAATCGCTGCAAAACATCAGTTGAATATCAATCCGTCGCTCATCAAGGACTAACTGTATTCAGGTGGATAGTTACCCGGGTTCTAGTAGGAAGTCGTGACCAGGAGTGTACAGCAGGTTGTGTGAGAACAAATATTCTCCAGCGGTGACATGTGTTACAGTTCTCGCCATATCATAAATTGGCAGAAGTTAGAATTTATGGGCTGACCAGTGGGTTGGGTGATTCCCAGTGGCTTAATGCTGTCTACGAGCTCGCTAGCCTTGTAACCAGAAGGTCGTGGGTCCGAACCCCAACCGGTGGGTGCGTAGTGATGAGGAGTTGCGAACTCGGACGAAACAGCTGTCTGGCAGTACTCCCAGGTGGTTTTCCAATGGTTCTCTAACTGATTTCAGTTAACGATGAAATCCTGAAACCAGTCAAATCCCTGCAAGCCGACGCCTTGGGAACTGATATATCAGTTCAATATTTTGCAGTTGTATTCAGGCCAGCAGGTTTGTCGCACAAATACGGCTATTTATTTTATCACCGCATAACTAATCTCTCATTCTACATAAAAATGTTTCCTCCAAATAACTGACTATTATTGTAATGATAACAATATATTTTATTTTATAATTGTAAAAATCCGAAGACAAATTATTAAAAATAATATTCTTCCTTTAGGTAGACTTCTGTAATTCATGATTTGGAGGTGTTTCACAGACTTAAACCTTATTATCATCATTATTATGGTTTCCTAAGGTTAGGGGTGAGAACTGGAGTTTGAAAAGCTCATCGCCATTTCACTGTCTTCTCTAATGTCATATTTTACTTGACTCCACGATTACCCTTAAGCTTTCATTCAAGTATGGTATCGTTGAGTTCCTGTACTTGGTTGTACGAGCATAGATTATTTTATACTAATTTCTGGTTCTACTTGATGAGATACAAGGTAAGAGTTGGGGATAGAGGGGGTTTTGGGGGTCGGAAGGTATGGTTTCAGACCATTTTTCGCATGTATTCAGATGCCTTTTTACTAATGTAGTGACGAACTGACTGAGTTTTACACCACTAGTCCTACTGACTACCTTCAACATCCTTCTCAGGATGGTATAGTCCTTTTTCAGTAGACCAGGAAAGACTAACGGGGAGCAGTAAAGTAGAATAGTTAAGATACAAGAGTTGACAAATTGTGAAAGTAGAGGTTGGGTGATTCCAGATTGTCTAAGTTTCTTAATGTAGTAGGTAAGACAGAACACTTTCTAAGAAATTGTTAGGATATGAGATGACCAAGTAATGTCGGAAGATAGAACTAGACCGAGGTATTTTGCATTTGACTTAGTTTCAGTTTTAGTCCCCTTAATATAACAGGCTTCATGAGTGCTTACTAGTGTTTGTAAATCTCGTTTATGCCTAAGGGAGAAGTCAATAGTCTGGCATCTTGAGGGATTCAGCATGAGACAATTTAGTTTAGACCACTGACTGATGTCCGACAGGAAGTTATTTAATTTGAAACAGTCTGACTGAGACTTAAAGGGAAACGATACAGACAGGTCATTTGCATATTCGACGAAGTTGATTTCATCTGAAAGAGGTAAATCATGTAAGAAGAAGGAAAAGAGAAACGGAGAGAGAACAGAGCCCTAAGGAACTCCAGCTTCAGTAAGCAAAGAAGAGGAAGATACACCATTATATACCGTGTACTGCATCCTATTAGAGAAGCAAGAGTGTAGCCAGTTGATAGCCCAGGACTCAGTTTGTGTAAAGCTAAGCTTGTTTAACAATAGGCCTCTAGGTACAGAGTCGAAAGCAGATGATGTTTTCAATTCGAGTTCCAGAGTCTGTCGCGTGCTATCACTGGACAATCTCCTCGACATATGCGGAATTCATCGCCATCTCCTTCTGCATGTTTTTTTTAGCCAATAGGTTGTTAGTTGGTACGTCTTCACAGTTCCTTGTTGCTAATCATTTCTAGCCGACCATCTAGTCTTCAGTATGAAGCCAGAGAAGGTAGCTTTTGATGAAAACCTGATGAATATGCTTTCCATGATGGGCAGGTCATGTCTATGAATCAAGTTTGAGTACTGAGTGACTTGATATTATTGCTGAATATCCTAATCTTGCTGATGCTTATACTGAGTTCAACAGATATCCACATTGATTTCAGATCAAAGTGAAGCTCTGTCTTGCCTTTCTGATCCTACTTATACACATTTAATTTATTTTCTATCTTCAAGTATTGATTTTGTATTGATTTTTCGTTTGATTGGTTGGAGGATTTGATCATAACCTGATATCAAATTAGTTTGTTTATTAGATGTATCACCACACAGTGAGTGAAACAGTATTATTGATTACTGGATGACAAGGTTTCGAACACAATCTATTATTGTTCATAATCATCTCACCAATTATAATCACACGACTTCGAAACTTGAGTCTTATAGTTTTCTTTGTTCCCTCCTATTTGTCGTCGTTGAGGTAGTAGAAGTTTCCAGATATCTGGGTGGACAGGTGTTGAATCATTCCTATTACATGTATTTGTAGTTGATTCGATAAACAAAGCTTCTGTTATCAATCTCTCCCTCCACCCTGTTACATTAGATTTTGAAAGTGTCATCTTATCCCATCGTATGGTTGTGTATGATTGCATGTAGTGAGTGCTATAGCTGAACTATTCTCTAGATTTCTTATCTTATTCGGGTCAACTAATCTAGATTTTGCTGCTGGGTTTTTATGCTCGGCTAGTCTGACTGCCCCTGTTCTACTACTTTGACCTGTGTATTTGACCTGACAATCAT